GAGGGAGGATTAAGGATTCTGCGCTGACCCATCTGTCATTCTTTACAGCTCTTGGAACTGAGGGTAGGTCCTGAGGTATGTAGGATGCGCCAAGACCCAGCACACCCCCACGTGGTTGCTACTGGGGGGAAGGAGAATGCTTTGAAAGTGTGGGACCTGCAGGGATCCAAGGAACCTGTGTTCAAAGCCAAGAATGTGAGTGATGGGCAAGGAGAGACTGTGGCTGAGGTCAGGGGAGGCTGAGGTCACTGACTAACCTGAGTCTAGATGGGCTTACGGGTGTAATGAGGGACTTAAGGAAGCCGCACTCTAATCCTGTCTAACCTCATCTTCCTACCTTACTTCCTCCCCCCAGGTGCGGAATGACTGGCTCAATCTGCGGGTTCCCATTTGGGAACAAGATATACAGTTCCTCCCTGGTTCACAGAAGCTTGTCACATGCACAGGATACCAGCAGGTGAGGCAGCATCTCATTGCTGCCTGCTGCTGGGTTGAAGCAGCTTCCTGAACAGAATAGACTTTGTAGTATGACACAGCCACCTTTGCACTGTCTTCTCCTGAGCTTCCTCATCTAGACTAGCCTTGGTACTGAACCTGTGGCATTCCCTTACTATAGTCTAGGATGGACTTTCCTAAATTATTGTTGTCAGGGCCTTGGTGGTGGTTTTATGTTTGTGCTTGTCGTCCTGGGGCTTAAACTCAGGGCCTGGGCACTGCCCTTGCACTTTTTTGATCAAGGTTAGTGCTCTACCACTTGAGCCACAACTCTACTTTTGGTGTTTTTTTTTTTTTTTGTCGGTCATGAGGCTTGAACTCTGGGCTTGAGCGCTGTCCCTGGGCTCTTCATCTCAAGGCCAGTGCTCTACACATGAGCCACAGTACCACTTCCAGTTTTCTGTTGGTTTATTGGAGACAAAAGTCTCATGGACTTTCCTGCCTGGGATGGCTTTGAACTGATCAGATCTCAGATCTGACCTCAGACCTCAGCCTCCCCTAGTAGCTAGGGTTACAGGCGTGAGCCACTGGTGCCCGGCTTACTTTTGGCGTTTACCTGGAGATAAGATACTCATGGATACCAGTGGCTCATACCTAGAATTCTAGCTACTGGGGAGGCTGAGATCTGAGAGTACTGGTTCCAAAACAATCAATGCAGGAAAGTCTGCAAGAATCATCTCCAATTAGCCACCAAAATGCTGGAAGTGGAGCTATAGCACACTAAACTTGAGTAAAGAAGCTCAGGGACAACACCTAGGCCTTGAGTTCAAGCCTGGGGGTCCAAGGGGGTGGGGAAGTCTCATGGACTTTCCTTCCTGAGCTGGCTTTGTACCAGCCCTCCTATCTCAGCTAAGTAGCTAGGATTATAGGCATGAGCCTATGGTGTCTGGCTAATTATAACTCATATCTCTAAGGTTAGGAAGAAAGGGAAGTGCTTTCTTCACAGTGGTCTTGTGGACCTCAGACTAGGTGTCATAAAGCTATCATGGTCCTGATATATAGCCACTGATTTGCCTTGCTATACAGGTAAGACGCTCCTCTCTTTGGCTTCAGAACATTTCAGTGTGCTGATCTTGGTGGTCTGGTTGTGATGATTAAATTCTGCTCAAAATGTGAGAGCCAGGCACCAGTGGGTGAAATCTGAGGATTTCTGTTCCAAGCCAGTCTGGGCAGGAATGTAACACCACTTAACCAGCAAAAAGCTGAAAATGGAGCTAGCCTTGAGCAGAACAGCTAAGGGACAATGCCCAGGCAGTGAGTACTGGTGCTTACACCATAACAAAAAACATAGGACTTTTTTTTACAAAGAAGGTAATTTTATTTTGCCAGTCCTGGGGCTTGAACTCAGGGCCTGGGCTCTGTCTCTGAGCTGCTTTTTTTGCTTGAGGCTAGCACATTTCCACAAGCCACAGCTCAACTTTTATGTCTTTCTGTTTATATGGTACTGGGGGATTGAACCCAGAGCTTCATGCATGCTAGGCAAGCACTCTTACCACTAAGCCACATTTCCCAGCCCCCCCCCCCCTTTTATTTTTTTTTGGCTTTTGCCAGTCCTATTGGACCACCTTGCTTTTCTATCTGTCTGTTGCCCCAAATGGAAGGACAGTATGTTCACCTTCTGCCCCCAACCACCCAACATAGACTTTTTCCTTTTGCTGTCCATTCATGCTCCAGAACAAGTCTGCCCACTCCTACCCTTCCATTCCCAGTTTTCAGAGATGAGGTACATATCTTAAAAAGTTGCTCTGGGGAAGGGGACAGGTCATAGGAAGCAGTGATCAGAAGAATGACAAGGAAGCAGTGTCGGATGAGGAGGCGCTAGTGATGCCTCTGTGTTCCTCTAGGTCCGTGTATATGATCCAGCTTCCCCCCAGCGCAGGCCAGTCCTGGAGAGCACCTATGGGGAGTATCCGCTGACTGCCATGACCCTCACTCCTGAGGGCAAGTGAGTATTTAAAGGGGAAGGATGGGGCTCAGGAGGGACTCTAGGAGGTTCCTGCTTATCCCAACCCACTTTGGTCTCTTCAGTTCTGTCATTGTTGGAAACACTCATGGGCAGCTGGCGGAAATTGATTTTCGGCAAGGTGAGTGGCTTAGGGAGTGCTTTGGGTGTGAAGTCATTTCCCTCTGCATTGGAATTGGGAGCTGTTCAGGCCTCAGGCAAGGACAGGATGCTTTGAATTCATGTTTGTTTTTCCAAAAGCTAGCTAACCCCCTGTGCTTTAGTTTCTTCATCTGTAAAATGGAAATAGGCAACCCCTGTCTTGGGGTTCTTTGAAGGATAAAGTTTTGGAATGTAAAGTGGTCTGAACAGCAAGCATTCAACATTCAAAAAAAAGTTGTTGGCTGACCAGCGGACACTGGTGCCTCCCTCTCTTCTCCAGGGCGCCTACTGGGCTGTCTGAAGGGGCTGGCAGGCAGTGTCAGAGGGCTGCAGTGCCACCCTTCAAAGCCCTTACTAGCCTCCTGTGGCTTAGACAGAGTCTTGAGGATACATAGGATCCGAAATCCACGTGGCTTGGAGCATAAGGTATGAGTCCAGCCCTCATGCTGTCATCCCCTCTACCTACTTAATGGTTTTCTGAAGCCCCCATTTTTTGTGCCCCTGTTTTTTGTTTTGTTTTTTGTCGGAGGTGGGGCCTGAACTTTGGGCCTGGGCACTGTCCCTTGGCTCCTCAGCTCAAGGCTAGCACCCTACCACATGAGCCACAGCTCCACTTCCAGCTTTTTCTGCTTATGTGGTGCTGAGGAATCGAACCCAGGGCCTTATGCATGCAAGGCAAGCACTCAACCACTGAGCCACCTTCCCAGCCCTTGTTTTGTTTTTAATCTCAGCTTTCTAAGGCTCCTTAATGCCCCTTCTCTTTTTCAGATTTATCTCAAGTCTCGACTGAACTGCCTCCTCCTGTCAGGCAGAGATAACTGGGAGGTGAGCTGTCAGGTCTGGGAATGTGGGAGCTAAGGGCAGGTGATTTTCCTGTGGAAAAAAGCTGGAACAGAACCAGGGCTGTCCATTTACCTGCGGTGTCACTTAAACTGTCTGAGTGGTGCTAAAAAAGCAGAATTGTCGCCTGCAGTGACAGGCGTTGTGGCAGTGGTTACTAGATGAAGGTGGTGGTGGTTCCCAGAGGGATTATTTTCCAAGTATCTCCTTCCTATTTCTGACCCTTCCCACTCATCAGGATGAGCCACAAGAACAAGAGCCCGATAAGACACCCATAGAAGACACAGAGACCGATGAACTTTGGGCCTCCTTGGAGGCAGCAGCCAAGCGGAAGCTTCCTGGTTTGGACCCGACTCATGGGGCTCATCAAACCAGGAGGAAAAAGAAACGGCCTGGGTCCACCAGCTCTTGAAGACCCTGTGCCCACTATGTAAATAAACAGCTAACACCTACCAGGACTCTGAACCTTCTGTGATGCGCGGAAAGAAAAGGGGGTAGCTGGTAGGGGCTCTCTGAGCTAAGGAGGTGGGATATCTGACGTCACAAAAGCCGACCCAAGGTCAGCAGGCTGGCTGGCGGGGGCGGAGTCCTGGCCGCGGGGCCATGGGCTGCTGCCAAGACAAGGACTTTGAGACTAAAGATGGGCGGGCCAAGGGCTTGTCAGAGGAAGGTGGGCCTCTGGATCGGGAGAGGAGGGTCCCCTGAAGGGACTGCCCTGGAGGTTGGACCTGGGAGGGTAAGGCTGAGTTCAGCAGCCTCCTAACCCTCACAGGCGCTGGAGGAATGGGCGTGGGCGCTAAAGGCCCCTCCGGCCGCAGGTCCAACGAAAGTCTTCTGATCACTGTGCTGTGGCGCCGGATATCCATGTTCAGCCGTCGGGGCTCGTCGCGGTCAACCAAGAGGCAATCGGATCAGATACAAAAGCAGGAGGAAGCCATCCGTGAGGGCTAAAATGAGGCTTAGGAGGAGCCGGAGAAGGGGTGACCTGATCTCAGTCCGCCTCAAAGGCCAGACAATAAAATTTCTAATGTGGGTTTGTCCTCAGCACTCAATGCCGCTGGCCCAGCCGGCCCAGGCGCCACGGGCTCTTTAAGGCTCCTCCTCTGAGGCTTGCTCCGTCCCAGGCCCGGGTCGGCTCCTCGGGGGCGGGGTCACAGCGGTATCTTAGCCAATAGAAAGGTGGAATCGCGCTGACGTTGGGGGAGGGGGCGTGTCTTGGGTCCCTGAGCTAGAAAAGGCGTGGCGCAGCCAACGCGTCACGGGGGTGGGGTTACGTGTAGGTGACGTGGCGGCTCAGGGTCTCACTCGGGTTTCGGCGACTTTAAGCCTCTAGGGAGGAGGCGGTGACAGCTTTGGAGATTGTGGCTGTGGCGCAGCGATAGGCGACAGAGAGGAGGTAGGATCCGCTGTAAGAGTGGCGCCCGGCCGTCGTGTCAGGATGTTCACGGGCGGCGACGGGCGGGGGAGGGGAAGGGAACAGGGGTGAGGAGGCAAGTCCTGCCCCTCCGGCTCCGGGTGAGCGAATACCGCGCCATCCAATCAGGAAAGCCCATGTTGAGACAGACATCGCCGCTAGCTAATCAGTGGTGCCCGTCTTCCAGAAGTCAGAACTTTGGCTGGGCGGGACTTCCTGTTTCAAATAAACACCTTAGAGGTTTTTCCCCCTCCGCCCACCGAAGTATCTTCCCCACCCGGGATGTTCGTCACGGTTTCTCTGTGAGGGCTTGAAGGAAATTACGGGTAGGAAGAGGGCACGGTTAGGGTCTGGGACAGTTAGTTAGGGCGAGCTGGAGCTTCCGGGCCCCGGAACCTCGTTCTGGTTCTGCTTGACTTCAGGGCCCACCGGCCCACGATTTGGCCGCCAGAGCCAACTTGGAAGAAAAGTCTGAGGAGACTTCTCGTTGGGCCCGGAAGAAATCGGCCCCTTCCTGCGGCGAACGGCACTCAGGATCTGCTAGTTGCCTTGGGCGCCAAAGTCTGTTGAGTGCAAGAAGGGCCCAAGGACTTGATGGTTGAGGAGGGAATTTGTCGGGAAGGAGGCCACCTGGGGAATGACACTCTCCCCTCCACCACAGTGCGAGGTTATGCGACTCAATGATCCCGCGGAAACGCTACGGGTCTAAGAACACGGATCAGGGTGTCTACCTGGGTCTCTCAAAGACACAGGTCCTGCCTGCAACTGCTGGCAGTAGCAGCGGCGACATCACCCCTCTGCCCCCTCCAGTGGTCCTGATCCCTCCCCCTCCCGACACCATGTCCTGCCGGGATCGGACCCAGGAGTTCCTGTCTGCCTGCAAGTCCCTGCAAAGCCGTCAGGTAAGGACCACTTGGAGTGGGAAAAGCTTGAGTCTGGGCAGAGTTGTGACCGAGTACTGCTAAATGAAGTAATCTCTGGGGAAACTTGATGGACAGCTGGTAGTTTAGATGAACTTGATGAAGAGCTTAGTAGGACCTACTAAGTCACAGAGAATGAATGAGCTTGCTAGGAGGCAAAGTCCTAGCCCGTGCGCGCGATTCCCCAGAGAGTAGGATTGCTATTTTGTGTATGTATGCCTTACACTCAGGTATGCTGTGTACATGGATACTCTGACTTGAATTTGGAGCCTGGCATTCTCCCTTAGCTTTTTCACTCAAGACTGATGCTCTACCACTAGAAGCACAGCTTCTCTTTCAAGCTCTTTAGTGGTTAATTGGAGATGAGAATCTCACACTTTTTTGCTTGAGCTGGCTTCCAACTGTGATCCTCTGATCTCATCCTCCTAAGTAGCTATATGAGCTGCCACCACCCATCAGATTTCTATTCATGGGCTTGAACCTCAGGGTCTGGGCACTGTCCCTGAGCTTTTTTGCTCAAGGCTAGCTCTCTATCACTTTGAAGCACAGCTCCACTTTCGGTTTTCTGGTGGTTAATTGGAGGTAAGAGTTTTATGGACTTTCTCATCCCTCCTGGCTTTGACAGCCATCCTCAGATCTCAGCCTCCCAAGTAGCTAGGATTTCAGGAGTGAGCAACCAGTGCTCAGCCCTTGGATTGCTATTCTTGTAGGAATGTTTTAAGGCCAGCAATGTTTGTTTATAAGGTATTTAGATTGTATAAGAAACAACTTCTGAGCCGGGCGCTGGTGGTTCATGCCTGTAATCCTAGCTACTCAGGAGGCTGAGATCTGAGGATCGTGGTTCAAAGCCAGCCCTGGCAGGAGAGACTGTGAGACTCTTATCTCCAATAAACCACCAGAAAACCGGAAGTGGCGCTGTAGCTCAAGTGGTAGAGTGCTTGCCTTGAGCTGAAGAGCTGAGGGACAGCGCCCAGGCCCAGAGTTCAAGCCCCACGACCAACAAAAAAAAAAACAACTTCTGTAGCCTTCAGCTGAAAGATAGACACCTTAAATTCTAGTCCCACCACAAGTTTTCTCTGTGACAACAATGAAGCTAGTTGAACCTCAGTTTTTCTATACTTACAATAGAGTATGGGACAGATGAAGAATAGGTGGATTAGTAACTTTCTAATAAAAAAACTTTGACTACTTCTCCTTTTTTTTTAAATGCAGTCCTGGGGCTGGGGTTTAAACTCAGGATCTAGGCACTCTCCCTGAGCTTTTTTGCTCAAGGCTAACATACCACTTGAGCCACTGCTCCACTTTCAGGTTTTTAGTGGTTAATTAGACATAAGAGTCTCAACAGATTTTCCTGTCTAGGCTGGCTTTTTCTTTTGCCAGTCATGGGGCTTGAACTCTGGGTCTGGTCACTGTCCTCAGCTCTTTAGCTCAAGGCTATTGCTCTACCAGTTGAGCCACAGCACCACTTTGTTTTACTGGTGGTTAATTAGAGATTAGAGTCTCACAGGCTTTCCTGCCTGGGCTGGTGTTGAACCACAATCCTCAGATCTCAGTCTTCTGAGTAGCTAGGATTATAGGACTGAGCCACTGGTGCCCAGCTAAAAATATTTTTTATTAGGATCAATTTGTTGTACAAGGGGATTTCATTTTGCCAGCTAAAAATATTTTTACTAGGATCAATTTTTATTTTTGTTTTTTTGTTTTTTTTGTCGGTCGTGGGGCTTGAACTCTGGGCCTGGGCGCTGTCCCTCAGCTCTTCAGCTCAAGGCAAGCACTCTACCACTTGAGCTACAGCGCCACTTCCGGTTTTCTGGTGGTTTATTGGAGATAAGAGTTTCACGGTCTCTCCTGCCCGGGCTGGCTTTGAGCCGTGATCCTCAGATCTCAGCCTCCTGAGTAGCTAGGATTACAGGTGTGAGCCACCAGCGCCCGGCTAGGATCAATTTGTTGTACAAGGGGATTTCATTTTGATATGTCCATATATACATAGTGCATCTTGATCAGGCTCACTCTTTTCTCTTCTATGAAGCCATAGTGATAGCAAGTTTTGGTGAGAGGATTGTCTTTAGTTTATAAAAGAGCTTATGAAATTCAAAATGATGACCAGGTGCCGGTGGCTCACTCCTGTAATTCTAGATACTCAGGAGGCTGAGCTCTGAAGATCACAGTTCAAAGACAGCCAGGACAGGAGAGTTTGTGATACTTATCCCCTGTTAACCACCAGAAAACTGGAAGAGGCATTGTTGCTCAAAGTGGTAGAGTGCAAGCCTTGAGCACAAAAGCTCAGAGACAGTGACCAGGTCCTGAGTTCAAGCTCCACAGCCAAAAAAAAAAAAAATAGTCAGGTCCCAGTGGCTCCAACCTATAATCCCAGAGTTATCCCAGGCAGGAAAATCTGTGAGTCTCTTACCTCCTGTTAACCACCAGAAAACCAAAAGTGGTACTGTAGCTCAAAGTGGTGAAGCACTAGCTTTGAGTACAAATGCTCAGGGGCAGCACTCAAGCCCTGAGCCTCACAACCAACCAAAAATTTAAAAAATTTCAAAATAGTTCAACTCGCTCAGTTCCTCCAGTTTCTAAAGTGTTGGAGTCAAGGTTTGAACCTAGCTCTAGTTTTCTACTTGGCTACAAGTTACTGATAAATTTAAATTGCCTGATGCCTGTCAGTTTGTCACCAGTACAGAGAAAGAAAGTTTTATGGACAGATGAGAAGCAACAAAGATGGAAATGATTGTAGGGGGAGCTCAAATCATGACTTCTTGGTATTACTTTTCAGAATGGAATCCAGACTAATAAGCCTGCTCTTCGTGCTGCCCGACAGCGCAGTGAATTTACTCTCATGGCCAAGTGAGTTGGAGAGCTTTGTGATGTGATATACAATGAGTGTCCAAAGAGAAGTAGGCTTGCCTCTGGTGGCTTGATTATTTTTTTTATTATTTTATTTTTGTTGGTCATGGGGCTTGAACTCTGGGTCTGGGTGCTGTTCCTAAGCTCTTTAGCTCAAGGCTAGTATTCTACCACTTGAGCCATAGTGCCACTTCCAGCTTTTTCAGTGTATGTGGTACTGGGGAATCAAACCAAGAGCTTCATACATGCTAGGCAAGCACTCTACCATTAGGCCACATTCCCAGCCCTGGTGACTTGGTTATGAAGGCTGAGATTGGTGGTATTAGAGCTAATGTGGGAACAGTCCTTCTTCTTCCCTTTTCCAGTGTTCTCTAATTGTTTGCAGGCGCATTGGGAAGGACCTCAGCAATACGTTTGCCAAGCTGGAGAAGCTGACAATCTGTGAGTGTTCTTGGGATTTCTCTCTCATATAGCAGTGAAACAGAGGACTGAGGAACATGCATTTCTTGAGCTTCAACTTTTGGGGGATGTAAGAGATGCCAGGGATGGAACCCAGGGCCTTGGACATACTAGGCAAGTGCTCTACCCCTGAGCTACACCCATAGCTCCTTGAGGAATGCCTTTAACCTGTTATAACTTTTTTTTTTTAATTGGGGGGGCGGGGGTTGGTTGTGGGGCTTGAACTCTGGGCCTGGGCACTATCACTGAGCTCTTCAGTTCCAGGCTAGGACTCTACCACTTGAGCCACGGCGCCACTTCTGGTTTTCTGAGTGGTTTATTGTAGATGAGAGTCTCACGGACTTTTCTGCCTAGGCTGGCTTTGAATCCTGATCCTCAGATCTCAGCCTCCTGAGTAGCTAGGATTACAGGAGTGAGCCACCAGTGCCCAGCCTGTTATAACTTCTTATTTGTCTTCACAGTGGCAAAGCGCAAGTCCCTCTTTGATGATAAAGCAGTAGAAATTGAGGAGCTAACATATATCATCAAACAGGTGAGCTGTTACCTGCCAGGAAATACCAAGATTTTATTTAGCTTCTGCATTCAAGGCTTAGACTCTGCCACGTAAGCCATGTTTCCATTCTTTTTGTTGGTTAATTAGAAATAAGTGTCTCTCAGATTTGGCCCAGTGCTGGTGCCTCATGTCTGTCTGTAATTGTAGCTACTCAGGAGGCAGAGACTTGAGGCTCAAGGTTCTTGGATTTGTCTTCCCAAGTTAGCCTCGAACCATAATTGTCAGATCTCAGCTTCTCAAGTAGCTAGTATTATAGCCATCAGCCCCTAGATCCCTGCTATGTCCATCATTTTGTTTGGAGTTCTAGAGCAAGTGTCTAGACATATCCCCAAATGTCCAAGTCTGATTATCTATCATATACAAAGCCCTGCCTGGGGTGCTGTTGATACAAACATGCGGCAAGATTCTTTCTTGCCTTTCAAGGGCTTCTTTTCTGGAAGAGACATCTGATGCCACAAGCCCATACTTAGCAGTTACTAGGAAGTGAGTGGTATAGAAAAGATGAATAGGCCGAGCCCTGGTGGCTTACGCCTATAATCCTAGCTACTCAGAAGGCTGGATTCTGAGGATCATGGTTCAAAGCCAGTCCAGGTAGTAAAGTCCCTGAGACTTTTTTTTTTGCCGGTCCTGGGGCTTGAACTCAGGGCCTGGGCACTGTCCCTGAGCTGCTTTTGCTCAAGGCTAGCGCTCTACCACTTGAGCCACAGCGCCACTTCTGGTGCTAAGCAATCGAACCCAGGGCCTCATGCATACCAGGCAAGCACTCACCCAGAGCCAACCTTCCCAGCCCTCCTGAGACTCTTATCTACAATTAGCCACCAAAAGGCTGGAAGTGGAAATGTGGTTCAAGTAGTACAGCACTAGCCTTGAACACAAAAGCTCAGGGACAGCACCTAGACCCTGAGTTTAAGTCCCAGAAGAGAGAGAGAGAGAGAGAGAGAGAGAGAGAGAGACACACACACACACACACACACACACACACACACTCTGAAGGGAATAAAATCTAAGCTAGATTCATATCTTGTTTAGGAGCAGCGGAAGAGCATTCCAGGCAGAGGAACTGTAAAGATGACTTGTAAAAGGGAAAATGTGCCTGTTTGCTCAGATATCACCTGCTCAGGGCAGCTTACCCTGCTCATGATGTTTAATACTCTTATCACCCAAACTTTGATCTTCCTTATTCTGTTCTATTTTTGTGTAGCATTTGAACTTTATAACATTCTCTATAATTAGTTTATTTATGTTTGTTATTTCTATGTGTTCCTTCTCATCCCTCCCCTCAAATCAAAAGAGATGAACACTACCACAAGAGCCTCTGGCAGCCCGCAATGCTCTAGAAGTCACAGTTCTCCTGTCTCAGTCCTCTTGGTGCTAGATTACACATGTCTACCACTGTACCTGGCCAAGATGTTTGTTTGTTTTTTTTTGTCGGTCATGGGGCTTGAACTATGGGCCTGGACTCTGTTCCTCAGCTCCACTCAAGGCTAGTGCTCTACCACGTAAGCCACTACTTCCAATTTTCTGGTGGTTAATTGGAGATAAGAGTCTCACATACTTTCCTGTCTGGGCTGGCATTAATTTTTTTTTTTTTTTTTTTGGGTCCGGTCATGGGGCTCTGGGCCTGGATGCTGTTCCTCAGCTCTTCAGCTCAAGGCTAGCGCTCTACCACTTGAGCCACAGCGCCACTTCTGGCTTTTTTCTTTTTGCTTATGTGGTGCTGAGGAATTGAACCCAGGGCCTCAGGCATGCAAGGCAAGCGCTCTACCACTGAGCCACCTTCCCAGCCCCTGGCATTGAATTTTGATCCTCAGATCTCAGCTTCCCCAGTAGTTAGGATTCCAGGTATGAGCCACTGGTGCCTGGCTTCAAGATGTTTGTTTGTTTGTTTTCTCCTATATCTTCATAAATCTATCCTAAACCAAGCACAGGTGGTTCTCACCTGTAATCCTAGCTACTGAAATCTCAGGGTCGTGGTTCAAAGCCAGCCCAGGCAGAAAAGTGCACAGGAGAGAATTCTCTCCAATTAACCACTCAAAAACGGAAAGTGGTGCAGTAGTACCAGTGGTAGAACACTAGCCTTGAGCAAAAGAACTCAGGGACAGTGCCTAGGCCCTGAGTTCAAGCTCCCCACAACCAACAAAAAATAAATAAATAAATAAATGTATCCTAAGTATAACATTGTCTGGCACTTGGCTATTGGTGAATTAAATTAATGAATGATTGGCAGGAAGCTTGCAATGTAAGTTACTCTCTGGGCATGAAGCGCATTGTGGACCTGGCTAATGAGTTCAGTATTATCCTAAGTATTTTGGGCAACACATTCAGTCTACCCAGTTTCGGGAGGAAGCTGCTACTGCTTAGTACAAAGATGATGACAGAGGCCAAAGTGGCAGACCCATTCAAGAGATGCTGTGCTGGAAAAATAGAGTTCTATTATCTATTGTGGTTTTGTTGCTTGGCTTTGTTAAATAGCTGGCCCACAGATTCAGACAGATCTGAATGTTATTTATTTATTTTTGTGCCAGTAGTGAGGCTTGAACTCAGGGTGCTATTTTTTAGCTTTTATGCTCTAGGCTGGTGCCACAGTTCCACTTCTGCCTTTCTGGTGATTAATTGGAAATAAGAGTCTTAAAGATTTTCCTGCCTGGGGCTGGGAAGGTGGCTCAGTGATAGAGCGCTTGCCTTGAGCTGAAGAGCTGAGGAACAGCGCCCAAGCCCAGAGTTCAGGCCCCATGACCTGACCCCAAAAAAAAAAAAAAAAAAGATTTTCCTGCCTGGGCTGATTTCAAATCAGGATCCTCAAGATTTCAGCCTTCTGAGTAGCTAGGATTACAGGTATGAACCACTGGCACCTGGCTTTTTTTTTTTTTTTTTTCAAATTGTTTTTTATTAGTGTATATTGCTTATACAAAAGGGTTTTCTAATATTTCCATACATGCAAAATTATGTGCTAAAATTCACTCCCTTTATTTCTTATTATTTGCCCTCTTCCACATTCCAAATTCTTTTTTTTTTTTTTTTTTTTTGCAAGTCCTGAGGCTTGAACTCAGGACCTGGGCACTGTCCCTCAGCTCTTCAGCTCAAGGCTAGCCCTCTCTACCACTTGAGCCACAGCCCCACTTCTGGCTTTTTCTGCTTATGTCGTGCTGAGGAATCTAACCCAGGGCCTCATGCATGCAAGTCAACCACTCTACCACTGAGCCACCTTCCCAGCCTCTACTCCTAATTCTTGATGCCTCCTCTTCTGGTCCCTTCCTGGTTCTGGGATAGGCTTTTTATGCCACCTCCTTAGCCACCTCCTTCCTCTTCCTTGTCTTATTTGTCCCTTGGCAGACTGAATTAGGGACCAGATGACATACTGGTCTGGTGTAGAAAGCTTGACTGTGCTGGTGAAGTACTATGTGTGACCTTGAGTAAGAAATTACTCTTTAGTCATAATAGAATTCTTTGTAGCCTGGTGCTGGTGGCTCACACCTATAATCCTAGCTACTCAGGAAGCTGAGATCTGAGAATTGAGGTTCAAAGCCAGCCCAGGCAGGAAAGTCCATGAGACTCTTATTTCCAATAAACCACTGGAAAACTGGAAGTGGCACTGTGGGGTAGAGAAGTAGCCTTGAGCTGAAGAGCTGAGGGACAGTGCCGAGGCCCAGAGTTCAAGCCCTATGACCGACAAAAAAAAAAAAAAAAATTCGCAGACTTTCTTGCCTGGGCTAACTTTGAACCAAGATCCTTAGAATTCAGTCTCCTAAGTAGCTAAGACTACAAGCATGAGCCTCTGGCACCTGGTAACAAAATGATTTATTTTTTATTGTTTATTGTGTGTTGGTCGTGGGCCTTGAACTCTGCCTGAGCACTGTCCTTCAACTCTTCAGCTCAATGCTAGCGCACTACCACTTGAGCTACAGTGCCACTTCCAGTTTTCTGGTGGTTTATTGGAGATAAGAGTTTCACGGACTTTCACGGACTTTCCTGCCCGGGATGGCTTTGAACCTCAATCCTCTGATCTCAGCCTCCTGAGTAGCTAGAATTACAGGCGCGAGCCACTGGCACCCAGCACAAAATGATTTTTATACAAAGAATTCTTTATATTTTTTTTGGCGATTGTGGGGCTTGAACTCTGGGCTTGGGCGCTGTCCCTCAGCTCTTCAGCTCAAGGCTAGCACTCTGCCACATGAGCCACTTCTGGTTTTCTAGTGGTTTATTAGAGCTAAGAGTCTCACAGACTTTTCCTGCCCAGGCTAGCTTTGAACCGCAATCCTCAGATCTCAGTTTCTTTAGTATCTAGGATTACAGGGGTGAGCCACCAGTGCCCAGACTTTTTTTTTTTTTGTTTCTGTGAGACTCTTATATCCACTTAATGACCAAAAAGCTGGAAGTAGAATTGTGGCTCAAGTGTTAGAGCTCTAGCCTTGAGAAAAAGAAAGAAAAACTCAAGGACAGTTTCCAGGCTATGTATCAAACCCAGGACTGGCACCACTTCCTCATCCCCCTCTTCCCACCCCCCCCAAAAAAGCTTGTTGATGATGTCTTTAGGAAATTGATTACTTTCACTCTTCTTTCCTGAGATTGTCCAGGCACAGTGGTTTGATTAGTCTGCTCCAAGTCTTTGACTGTTAAAAGGGTTCTGTGGCCTCAACAGAGTTCAATAGAGCAAAAAGGTAGAGGGGGTAACAAGTCATTCATTTACTTTTACTTTTCTGGCTCTTCTCTGGTGGAAGTGAGTAAGAGCAAACACCAGAGTTTGGAAAATCCTAGCAGGCCCTTCTCATCTGACTGTCTAGGATACTAACTTTTTTTGTTTTTAAACTGGTACTGGAGCTTGAACTCAGTTCTGCTTCTGGCTTTTTGTGGTTAAGTGTCTCCCTGACTTTCCTCCCTGGGTTGGCTTTGAACTTGAATCCTCAGATCTCAATCTCCTAAATAAGCTAGGATTACAGTGAGTACTACCCACTGTAGTAGGTAATAGTTTTCATCTTGCTCTCCCTGCCGGAGGATGACTACTGGCTGAAGACTCCTTGGTTAATACTGTTTCTGTGGGCTCTTTTTTCCAGGACATCAATAGCCTCAACAAACAAATTGCTCAGCTTCAAGATTTCGTAAGAGCCAAGGGCAGCCAGAGTGGCCGGCATCTACAGACCCATTCCAACACCATTGTGGTCTCTTTGCAGGTAGGATTTGGGGGATGGAGGAAAGGAAGGGAGCAAAGTATGTTTTTTATTTTTTAAATGTTAAATGATAATAAGTACTATTATTGTTTTACTCATTTTTATAGTGATCCTTGGGTTTGAACTGATTGAAAACTGCTCAGTTGTTTGACAGATAATCTGCAACTTAAGTCACACCTCTCATCTCATTTTACTTTATGTATTTCTCAGATACTCTGCCATGTTTTTGCATGGACTGTCCTAGAGCATGATACTCCTGTTTATTTCCTCCTTGAAGCTTGGATGACCAATGTGTGCACTACACACGCAGCTCATTTACGATATGGTCTCGCTAGCTGTCAAGGCTGTCTAGGAACTGTGACCTATCTAGACCTATCTAGTCTCCACCTCCTGAGTGGCTAGGATTACAGATGCACCCACATTACCAGCAAATTATTTTTATTTTTTTTTCCTTTAATGATATTAGAGTTTGAACTCTAGGCCATGTGCCATATACCCTCAGCTTTTTTTCTTTTTTTGTGCCAGCCCTGGGGCTTGAACTCATGGTCTAGGCACTGTTCATTTCCTTCTTTCCTTTCTTCCTTCCTTCCTCTTTCTCTTTTTCTTTTTCTTTTTTTTTTTTTTTTTTTTTTTGGTTCTCATCCTGGGTCTTGAACACAGACCCTAAGTGCTATGCCTTAGCTTTTTCACTCAAGGCTGGTGCTTACCACTTGAGCCACAGCTCCATTTCCAGCTTTTTGTTGGTTAATTGGAGATAGGTAAGACTCGCAGATTTTTTTGCCTGGGCTGACTTGGATCTCAGCCTCCTGAGTAGCTAGTATTGTTTGTTTGTTTGTTTTTCCAGTCATGGGGGCTGAACTCTGGGCCTGGGTGCAGTTCCTCAGCTCTTCAGCTCAAGGCCAATGTCCTACCTCTTGAGCCACAGTGCCACATCTGGCTTTTTTCTGCTTATGTGGTGCTGAGGAATGGAACCCAGGGCCTCATGCGTGCAAGGCAAGCCTCTACCACTGAGCCACCTTCCCAGCCCCTGAGTAGCTAGTATTACAGGTGTGAGCCACTAGTGCCTATCTTGTTTTTATTTATTTATTTATTTATTTATTTTTTTTTTTTTTTTTGGGGGTCCGGTTGTGGGGCCTGAACTCTGGGCCTGAGTGCTGTCCCTCAGCTCTTCAGCTCAAGGCTAGCGCTCTACCACTTGAGCCACAGCGCCACTTCTGGCTTTTTTCTTTTTGCTTATGTGGTGCTGGGGAATCGAACCCAGGGCCTCATGCATTGCAAGGCAAGCGCTCTACCACTGAGCCACCTTCCCAGCCCCTATTTTTTTTTTTTAAGACAAAGTCTCACAATGTAGCCCAGGCCGTATTGGCTGGAACTTGCAATCCTCTGTCCCCAGCCTCCTGAGTGCTGGACAGAGTCTCCCTATGAAGCTCAGGCTAGTTTTGGTTCTCCTACCTCCACACTTCCTGGATATTAATACTACACTTCCTGGATATTAATACTATAGGTGTATGCCACCATGCATAGCCAAAATGTCTTTCCTCTCCTCCCCCAACCCCCCCCCTTTATTTTATTTCTTTTTCTGTCGGTCGTGGGGCTTGAACTCTGGGCCTAGGCACTGTCCCTCAGCTCTTCATCTCAAAGCAAGTGCTCTAACACTTGAGCTATAACACCACTTCTGGTTTTCTGGTGGTTTTTATTGAAGATAAGAGTTTCATGGACTTTCCTGCCCAAGGCTGGCTTTGAACCATGGTCCTCAGATCTCAATCTCCTGAGAGCACCCAGCTTCCTTTATTTTTTTGCTGGCACAAAGGCTTGAACTTCACAGGTGTGTGGTGTGTGTGTGTGTGTGTGTGTGTGTGTGTGTGTGTGTGTGTGTGTGTGCGCGCATACGTGTGTGTGCGCACGCGCACATGAGTGCAGTGTGTGTGTGTGTGCGCGTGTGCATACGTGTGTGTGCGCACGCGCACATGAGTGCAGGTGGGCACGCCAGTACTGAGGCTTGAATTTTTTTTTTTTTTTTTTTTTTTGGGTCCGGTCGTGGGGCCTGAACTCTGGGCCTGGGCGCTGTCCCTCAGCTCTTCAGCTCAAGGCTAGCGCTCTACCACTTGAGCCACAGCCCCACTTCCAGCTTTTTTCTTTTTGCTTATGTGGTGCTGAGGAATCGAACCCAGGGCCTCAGGCATGCAAGGCAAGCGCTCTACCACTGAGCCACCTTCCCAGCCCCTCAAAGTCTGAGCTTTTGTGCTCAAGTCTAGTGCTGTACCACTTGAGCCACAACTCCACTCCAGGCTATTTTGGTTCTTAATTGAAGATAAGAACACCTGTAATCCTAGCTACTCAGGAGGCTGAGGTCTGAGGATCACCATTCAAAGCCAGCCTGGGCAAGAAACTCCGTGAGACTCTTATCTCCAATAAACCACCAGAAAACCAGAAGTGGCATTGTGGCTCAAGTAGTAGAGCCCTCACCTTGAGCTTAATAGCTAAAGGACAGTGCCCAGGCCCAGAGTTCAAGCCCCATGACTGACAAAAAGGAAAAAGAAAAGAGTTTCATGGACTTGCCTCCTCAGGCTAGCTTCAAACCTCCATCCTCAGATCTCAGCCTCCTGAGTAGCTAGGATGATGAGCCACTTGTGCCTGGTGAACCTCATTGTTAGTTTTGCTCTGATTTCTTACTCATGGCTGGCCCTCTACCACTTGAACTATGCTTCCAGTCTAACACTTTACTGTTTAATCAAAGATAGAGTCTCTTGGATCTTTTTGCTCCAGGTCTCAGCTTCTTGAGTAGCTGAGATTATAGGTATGAGCCATGGGTTTCCTGACTTACGTGTCATATTTGACCTTTTCTCCTTTCCTTCTAGTCAAAACTGGCGTCCATGTCCAACGACTTCAAATCAGTTTTAGAAGTGAGGACAGAGGTAAGAGGAGTCTGTGGATGGTGGTGGGAATTGAATTGGGGTGTGTGGGAGGGTATGCAGTAGGAAAGAGGAAAGGAGGAAGTTTCATAGGTTTATGGGGCCAATAAGAGGGATCTCCTTAACCTATCTGCTTTCCAGAGGCCTCAGGACCTTTGCATTTCTTCCCCAACCCCAGAATCTGAAACAGCAGAAGAGCCGGAGGGAGCAATTTTCACGGGCACCTGTGTCAGCCCTGCCCCTTGCCCCCAACCACTTAGGTGAGTCACAGACAGTATGGGAGGCCCAGGAGACAGGGGCAGGTGGTGGCTAAGGCTTACTTCTGGAGCTGATGGCATCCTCTGACGGCAGATTTGGTGTAAGGGAATGGAGGGCCCATGAAATTGATAGATAGTACCTGTCAGAGGTCAAACCTGGTTACGAGGATTCTTTTGCCAAAGGGCGGGGTGTTGCACACATGCGCCAGTCTTAGTATTGAAATCATGGTCCGGGCTCTGTTCCTGAGGGGTTTTTTTGTTTTTTGTTTTTGGGATCTGGTCATGGGGCCTGAACTCTGGGCCTGGGCACTGTCCCTCAGCTCTTCAGCTCAAGGCTAGCGCTCTACCACTTGAGCCATAGCGCCACTTCCGGCTTTTTTCTTTTTGCTTATGTGGTGCTGAGGAATCGAACAGGGCCTCATGCATGCAAGGCAAGCGCTCTACCACTGAGCCACCTTCCCAGCCCCTCCATGAGGTTTTTTGCTCAAGGCTTGCACTCTGCTCTATTTCTCGCGTGTGTGTGTGTGTGTGTGTGTGTGTGTGTGTGCGCGCGCACGTGTGTGCGTGCGTGTGTGTGTGTGTGTGTGTGTGTGTGTGTGTGTGTGTGTGTGTGTTTAATTGGAGATAGAATCTCATGAACTTTCTTGCCCCAGGCTGGCTTCAAATCTCAGCCTTCTGAGTAGCTAGGATTACAGGAATGAGCCAGCAGCACTGGCTTGACCATTCTTTTAACCCTTAAGATGTGGCATGTCCTCTCTCTTCCTCAGGAGGTGGTCCTGCCGTTTTGGGGGCTGAGTCCTGTGCCTCCAGGGATGTGGCCATTGACATGGTGGACTCTCGGACCAGCCAGCAATTACAGCTCATTGACGAGCAGGTAGGGAGGCTCTGAACTGAGAAGGATGAGCTCCTCTGTTGTCTCCCCACCCTTCTGCCTAGAGTATTTGGGGTGTACGATGGTGGACTTGCAAGCTGAGAGAGTCTTAAAGCTCAGGCTCTTACCTATCCTGAAGAAGCTCATGATGAACTTGTGTTTTCTCCCTCTCCTGAAGGATTCCTACATCCAAAGTCGGGCAGATACCATGCAGAACATTGAATCTACAATTGTTGAGCTGGGCTCTATCTTTCAGCAGTTGGCACACATGGTTAAAGAACAGGAGGAAACCATTCAGAGGTGAGATGCCTTCTCTCTCTCTCCACTGAGAGAAGCCAAGGACAGGCAGCTTGATGTCTTCAGAAGAGTAGAATGAATCTTGCTTCCACCCATTTAGCACCCGTTCCAAGAACACTAAGTAAATTCCAAGCCCTAATAAAACAACTATATAGAGAATTAAGTAAGACAATGTGTTAAGAAAATGACTGAGTAGTTGAGAGTGATTAGTACAGTAGAACCTTGCCAGCATATCTAGGGTCTCAACCTAAACTCAATCCCTAGTATCTCACTGGGAAGGAGAGCTAAGAAAAAAGTGACTGGGCTGGGAAGGTGGCTCAATGGTAGAGCGCTTGCCTTGTATGCATGAGGCCCTGAGTTCGATTCCTCAGCACCACATAAGCAGAAAAAGCCAGAAGTGGCACTGTGGCTCAAGTGGTAGAGCGCTAGCCTTGAGCTGAAGAGCTGAGGGACAGCACCCAGGCCCAGAGTCCAGGCCCCACAACTGACCGAAAAGAAAAAAGTGACTAAGAGCCTGGCATGGTGGTGTGTGCCTGTATTTCCAGCTACCCAGGAAGCTGAGGCAGGAGAACTACTTGAGCTTAGGAGTTTGAGGCTAACTTTAATAACATAGTAAGATTTTGTCTCAGAAAATAAGTAAAGAGCTGGGTATATCTCTCAGTGGAATACTTGTCTAGCTTTTTCAAGGCCATAGTTTCTATGCCCAGGACTGTTAAAAAATACAAATAAAACACAAAGAATAAAATATAAATGAAATAAAATGGGTCAGGTGTGAGTGGCTCACCCTGTATTCCTAGCTACTCAGGAGGCTGAGATCTAAGGGTAGTGATTCAAAGCCATCCCAGTCAGGAAAGACTCTTTATCTCCAATTAACCACAAAAAAGCCAGAAGTTGAACTGTGGCTCTAATGCTAGAGTACTAGCCTTGAGCCAGAAAGCTCAGGGACAGCACACAGGCCCTGAGTACTGGCAGAAAAATAAATAAAGTGAGGAAAAAATGTGAGTAGCTAATCAGATTGAGAGAAAAGCAGAGAAGACTACTCTGAAGAAAAAAATACTTAAACAGCTGAATAACAGGAGTTTATCCAGTCACCTAAAGAAGAGAGAAAATGCTTTAGACAGTGGGGACAGCTGGAGCAAAGACCTTAAGATGAATCTGTCTTGCTCCATTCAAGGATCAAGCCCAGTGTGGCTAAAAGAGATAGTGAGTACTACAGGAAGATGGAGGCCCACCAACGTAACCTCTGTTCTCTGGAGCCACTTGCTACTGACAGAGGCATTTTATTGGCTCCTTTTCTGTAGCACTTAGTGTTTATCTAGTCAGTTATGGAGATATATGCAGCAGTGGAAAAAAGGGCACAAAATTGGGAGAAAGATGATGAGGGAGAAAACTATGTAAATATTCAAAGCATGCTGTAGTGTCACATACACCTAGGAAACCGAGGTAGGAGGATGGAGGGCTCCAGGCCAGCCTAGCCTACACAGTAACGTTGTCTCAAAAGTACAATAAAAGCTGGGCGCTGGTGGCTTACTTTTGTAATCCTCGCTACTCAGGAGGCTGAGATCTGAGGATCGCAATTCAAAGACAGCCTGGGCAGGAAAGTCCATGAGACTTATCTCCAATAAGCCACTAGAAAACCGGAAGTGGCGCTGAGGTTCAAGCCGTAGAGTACTCGCCTTGAGCTGAAGAGTGCAAGGACAGCACCCAGGCCCAGAGTTCAAGCCCCAGGACCAACCAAAAAAAAAAAAGTAAGGGCTGGGAAGGTGGCTTAGTGGTAGAGTGCTTGCCTTGCATACATGAGGCCCTGGGTTCGATTCCTCAGCACCACATAAGCAAAAAGAAAAAAGCCAGAAGTGGCACTATGGCTCAAGTGGTAGAGGGCTAGCCTTGAGCTGAAGAGCTGAGGGACAGCGCCCAGGCCCAGAGTTCAGGCCCCACGACTGGATCCAAAAAAAAGAAAAGGTCCAGTATTTAAAAAAAAAAAAAACAAAAAAACACAGGGGCTGGGAAGATGGCTCAGTGGTAGAGTGCTTGCCTTGCATGCCTGAGGCCCTGGGTTCGATTCCTCAGCACCACATAAGCAAAAAAGAAAAAAAAAGCCGGAAGTGGCGCTGTGGCTCAAGTGGTAGAGCGCTAGCCTTGAGCTGAAGAGCTGAGGGACAGCGCCCAGGCCCAGAGTTCAGGCCCCATGACCGGTCCCAAAAAAAAAAAACAAACAATTTGTGCCTTACACTAATGGCTCCCGCTTGTAATCCTTGCTACTCAAGAGCTGAGATCTGAGGATTAGGGTTCGAAGCCAGCCAGCTAGTGTTTCTACTGATTTGGGTCTATTCTTTATGTGTTATGACTGATGGCATTATAGAGAGTCTGGATTCTGTGTCTCCAAAGAAAAGTGACATTTGTCTCAGCAAGGTTGAACTTGATAATTGTGTTATTCTGATTATGATGTGTTATTTATTTACTTATGATATGGCTACTTGAATGGGAGCTACCCAGCCATTCATTACTAGAAACAGACATCCAGGACTGAGTAGTCCTCATTGGATCAGCAATATTGATGGTTGTAGGTGACCTAGATTCAGGCTTAGTGGAGGGAGAGCTTGGAGACCTACCTCAGTCATCGTGTACTAACATGCATGAGACCCTGGGTTCTATCCCCAGAACCACAGACACACGGAGGTAGAGGCAAGGGAGGAGGAGGGGGGAAGGACACAGTGAAGTAGGGAAAAGAAATACAGGTATGTGTGAGAGCAGTAAGAAAAAGAACGGATAACTACTTCCAGGAGTTTTGCTTCAGAATAAAGAAGCCAGGTGCCAACTTCCTCCTGTAATCCTAGCTAGGGCTAAGGAGGTTGAAATCTGAGGATGTTGGTTTCAAGTCAGCCTGAGCAATTAACCAACAAAAAGCTAGAGGTGGAGCTCTGGCTAAAATGATAGAGCACCAGCCTTGAGCGAACAAACTAAGGGATAGTACCCACCTTCTGAGTTTAAGCCCCAATGAAAGCACCAAAAAAAAAAAAAAAGTAAGACAGGCTCAGTAGCTTGTTGTAATCCTGTAGAAGGCTGAGGTTGGAGAATTGTGATTTTTTGTTGTTCTTACTGAGGTTTGAACTCAGCTTCATGCCTATGTATCTGGTGACCAACCACTTGATCTTTGCCTTCAGCCCTCAAAATTTTATTTATTTGGGCTGGGAAGGTGGCTCAGTGGTAGAGCATTTGCCTTGCATACATGAGGCCCTGGGTTCGATTTCTCAGCACCACATAAGCAAAAAGAAAAAACCCAGAAGTGGCGCTGTGGTTCAAGTGGTAGAATGCTATCCTTGAGCTGAAGAGCTGAGGGACTGTGCCCAGGCCCTCAGCTCTTCAGCTCAAGGCTAGTGCTCTACCACTTGGCCACAGTGCCACTTCTGGTTTTCTGGTAGTTAATTGGAAATAAGAGTTTCATGGACTTTCCTGCCCAGAGTGGCTTTGAACTGCAATCCTCAGATCTCAGCCTCCTGAGTAGCTAGGATCATAGGCATGAGCCACCAGAGCCTGGCTCAAATTTTTGTGTGTGTGTGTGTGTGTGTGCCAGTCCTGTTGAACTTTGTGTTCCCAAGGCCAGTATTCTGGCACTTGAGCCTACCTCCACTTTTGGCTTTTTTGGTGGTTAACTGGAGATGAGTCTCACAAACTTTTCAGCCTAGGCTTGCCTTAAACAAAAGTTTTTAAGTTTATATATGCATAAAGTGTAAGTTTGATACAATTCATCATCCATTATTCTCTTTCTTTACTCCCTCTGGCTTCTCTCTCCAAATAGTCCCATACTTATAATCAAGTTATGTGTAAATAGATACATATTTACATACAATGTTTGTATAAAATAATTTACATAAAATATATGTATACAAGTATACATTATAATACTGATATAAGTATATAGTGTGTACTATATGTGTATAGGGGTGTGTGTGTGTGTGTGTGTGTGTGTGTGTGTGTGTGTGTGTGTCTGTCTGTCTGTCTGTCTGTCTGTATATCTAGATTCTTCAGCTGGGCACTGATGGCTCACACTTGTAATCCTAGCAACTAAGGAGGCTAAGATCTGAGGATCACAACTCAAATCCAGCCTGGACAGTGAAGTCCATGAGACTGTTATCTCCAATTAACCAACAAAAAGCCAAAAGTGGAGCTGTGGCTCGAGTAGTAAGGTACTAGCCTTGAGGGCAAAACTCAGGGACAGTGCCTACAAAAAAAGTCTAGATTCCTTTTTTTTGCTGGTCTTAGGGTTTGAACTCAGGGCCTAGGCACTGTCCCTCAGCCTTTTTATGCTCAAGGCTAGCATTCTACCACATGAGCCACAGTGTTACTTTCAGTATTTGCTGAGGAATTTATCAGAGATAAGATTCTCATGAGCCGGGTGCTGGTGGTTCATGCCTGCAATCCTAGTTATCCAGCAGGCTGAGATCTGAGGATTGCAGTTCAAAGCCAGCCCGGGTAGGAAAGTCTATGAAGAAAACCAGAAGTGGCGCTGTAACTCAACTCAAGTGGTAGAGTGCTAGCTTTGAGCTGAAGAGCTGAGTGAGGGGCAGTGCTCAGGCCCAGAGTTCAAGCCCCATGACCAACAAAAAAAGAAAAAAAAAATCTCATGGATTTTACTGCCCAGGCTGACTTTGAACCACCATCTGTAGATCTCAGACTCCTGATGCTAGGTTTAGCCACCAATGGTTAATTGGAGATAAGAGTCTCATGGAGCTGGGCACCAGTGGCTCTGGCTACTCAGAAGGCTGAGATCTGAGGATGAGGGTTCAAAACCAGCCTGGGCAGGAATCGCCATGAGATTCTTATCTCCAATTCACACCCAGAAAACTGGAAGTGGCACTGTGGCTCAGGTGGTAGAGCTAGCCTTTAGCTGAGGAGCTCAGGGACAGTGCCCAGGCCCAGATTTCAAGGCCCACAACCAGTCAAAAAAAAAAAAAAATAGTTTAGGGCTGGGAATATGGCTCAGTGGAAGGGTGCTTGCCTAGTATTCATGAAGCCCTGGGTTCAATTCCTCAGTACCGCATAACCAGAAGAAGCTGATAGTGGCGCTGTGGCTCAAGTGGTAAAGTGCTAGTCTTGCACAAAAGAAGTGCAGGGAAGCTGGGTGCTGTAATCCTAGCTACTCAGGAGTCTAAGATGTAATGGACATAGTTTGAAGCCAACCCAGGCAAGAAAGTTCGTGAGACTCTTATCTCCAATTAACCACCGAAAACCAGAAGTGGAAGGGGGGGGGGGGGCCGCCAGTGGGTCATGCCTGTAATCCTAACTACTCAGGAAGCTGAGATCTGAGGATTGTGGTTCAAAGCCAGCCCATGAGACTCCCAGAGACTCAATAAACCATTCAGAAAACTGGGAGTGGAGCTGTGGCTCAAAGTGTTAGAGTGGTAGCCTTGAGCTGAAGAGCTCAGGGACAGGGCCCAGGTTCGGAGTTTAAGCCTCATGATCGACAAAAAAAACTACCCAAAAGTTGGGAGGGTAGTTTTTGTTGTTGTTTTTTTTTTAAATTTAATTTAATTTTATTTGTGAACATACTGTACAGAGGAGTTACAGTTACATGGGCAGGATAATGCATACATTTCTTACCAAGCATTGCAGCCGCCTCCTTTGTTTACCCTTCACATCCCTTCCCAGCCTCCCCCCTCCCCCCCTAATCCCAATCTTTCTCCTTCCTCCCCCCCCCCCCCCCCCCCCCCCCCCCCCCCCGCACCAACGTTGTAAAGCTCGTTTTGGACATGACAACTTGTACTTCTTATTGTTGCAACAGGTCCACCTGTATCCTTAAACAACTGGTTTTTTCCCCATCTCGGGAGGGTAGTTTTTGCAGCCATAATCCCTTCACTTAGTCATCAGTTGTTAACATTTTATCATATTTTCCCAGCCTCCCAAAAGTAGGTACAAACATGACCATTTTATCCCTCAGTGTTTAGCTGCCTCTGCTAAGAGTAAAGCATTCTAAACAGCAATTACAGCATTATTATATCTAAGAAAACTTCACTGTTCTCCAGCACTATCTATATGTGGTGCATATGACATTTTTTTTATTAGCTTACATTGGTTATACAAAGCTGAAAGTTGTTTATTATTAGAGCATATTTTTAATCAACTTTTTGTTTTCTGGTTTTTGTTTTTGTTTTTTTTTTGGTCAGACATGGGGATTTTTGGGTGCTGTCCTTGAGCTCTTTTGCTTAAGGCTAGGGCTTTATCACTTTGAGCTATAGCGCCACTTCCAGTTTGGGAGTGGCAAATTAGAGACAGTCTCAGTGACTTTTCTGCCTAGCTGGCTTTGAACTGCAATCCTCAGATCTTTGCCTTCTGAGAATTACAGGTGTGAGCCATCAGTGCCCAACTGTAACTTCTCTGTGTGTGTGCATGCATGCATGCCAGTCTGGGTCTTGAACTCAGGGCCTAGGCTCTGTCCCTGAGCCTCTGTGCTCAAGGCTCTACCACTTGAACCACACACAGCACCACTGCTGGCTTTTTCTGCTTATGTGGTACTGAAGAATTGAACCTAGGACTTCATGCATACTAGCCAAGCATTCTTTACCACTAAGCCACATTCCCAGCTCATCTTACAGACTTTCTTGCTGGGGCTGGCTTCAAACCACAATCCTCAGATCTCAGCCTCCTGAGTAGCTAGGATTACAGGTATAAACCACCAGCACCCAACTTCAGGAGTATTTTTATTTTTATTTATTTATTTTATTTTATTTTTTTGGCGGTTGTGGGGCTTGAACTCTGGGCCTGGGCGCTGTCCCTCAGCTCTTCAGCTCAAGGCCAGCGCTCTACCACTTGAGCTACAGCGCCACTTCCAGTTTTCTAGTGGTTTATTGGAGATAGGAGTCTCACGGTCTCTCCTGCCCGGGCTGGCTTTGAACCGTGATCTTCAGATCTCAGTCTCCTGAGTAGCTAGGATTACAGGTGTGTGCCACCGGCACCCGGCCCAGGAGTCTTTTTATATACAAATATATGAACACAAAAATGATAGCATACACATATGGTATCAAATTATAGATTGATATTTTTACAAACTGCCTATTATGATCGTCTCTCTATATCAAATAGATTTCTATAGCATTCGTGTTAACCCGTGCCCTTCTGTTTCTGTTCCTGGCCCTGTCCCAGGATCGACGAGAATGTGCTTGGAGCCCAGCTGGATGTGGAGGCCGCCCACTCAGAGATCCTAAAGTACTTCCAGTCAGTCACCTCCAACCGGTGGCTCATGGTCAAAATCTTCCTCATCCTCATTGTCTTCTTCATCATCTTTGTGGTCTTCCTCGCGTGAGCCCACTGCATTCTGAGGCACTCCATGAGGGTTTGGGACCCTCCTGGGAGGGAAAGTGGCCACAGTTGCCACTGCGCCTGTGCAGGGTGCTTGGGAGAAAGGCCATTTTCCTGGAACTGCTAAGAATGGCCAATGCCCCTGAAGCCCTACTCTTGCCTCTGGCCATCTTGTCCTCCCCTCACACCCTCAGGCCCATGAAAACCACATGGTTCTGGATTTGGACTCTACCATGAAGTGGCTAGAAGGGAGCAAAAGCCAGCTAGGGGCCAGTGGGGGAGGTTGTTGCTACCAGGAGATTTTTTTAATAAGCCCCGGTCAACCTCTCCCCAAAGAAACCCTCAGCAAGGGATGATGACGCCCCTCCCTGCCTTTGTGAGTGAGGAGAGGAAGCGAAAGTGCCCCAAGGGACCAACTTCCCCATCTGGGTTATAACTTGACCATCTTTCTCTCTTCACCATGTGAGGCAGGGGTCTCTGAGCCCTTTAGCTGCCTCCGTGACCCCTAACTTTGGCTGCTGGTGACTTTCAATCTGCCAAATGTGTGCAGCCTATATCCCTCCAATTACAGAGAGACTGTCAGCCTCACTAGCCATGTTGTCATTTGTGGGTGGGAGGGTCAAAGGCGCCATTGCCCAGGATGAGAAGTGAAAGAGCCGGGTTAGTGCTCTGAGGGCCCCGCTGATGAACTGGCCACAGAGGCTTCCAAGCTGGGGGAAAAATGCAACGGCACTACATTAGCATGAAATTTCCTTTCTGAAAGAAGAGCCTGAAGCCAGGCACAGGTGGCCTAGCTACTCAGGAGTCTGAGATCCGAGGATCACGGTTCAAAGCCAGCCCAGGCAGGAAAGTCCAGTAAAACACCAGAAAACCGGAAGTGGCTCAACTGGTAGAGTGCTAGCCTTGAGCTGAAGAGCTGAGAAACAGCACCCAGGCCCCAGAGTTCAAGCCCCATGACCACCCCTCCCCCCCAAAAAAAAGAGACTGAGCTAGGGACTAGTAGCTCACACCCTGTATTCCTAGCTACTCAGGAGGCTGAGATCTGAGGACTGGAGTTTGAAGCCAGCCTGAGCAGGAAACTTGTGAGACTTACCTCTAATAAGCTACATAAAAAAAGCAGTGCTGTGGCTCAAGTGGTAGAGTGCTAGTCTTGAGCAAAAGCAGCTCAGGGACAGTGCCCAGGCTCTGCATTCAAACCCCGGGTCTGGCACCAAAAAAAAAAAAAAAAATCAATCCCACATTGGGTCCTTGATGAATGTTAACTTCCAGAATATTTCAAGCCATGTTTGAACCAGAATTCATGTACATCCTCTAACCCGTTGGCCCCAGTTCTTCCCTGCCTGAGAGGCAGGAGCTGGCCTGCTGCCATGGGCAGAAAAGTGAATTTGTTCCCCATTCCAGCTGAGAGCTTTGGTTCCTTCTCTCAACCCCCTCACCAAATCCAAGCCATTCACAAGAGAATGGAGGAGACCTGCCTGAAGACCTTTCCAGGAAGGCTACCTCCATCCAGGGAGGCTAATGTGTTCCCTCCCGATCGGGACCCACAACCACACCATTCAGAGATCACTAGGATTGCCCTATGGGAACTACACAGCCTCGCAATCACCCTGAGGGGCAATTCCTTCTGTATTGGGAGGTGTAGGAGAGTCCATGGTGCTACCAATTTAAACTATTTTCAGCCAGGCACCGGTGGCTCACGTGTGTAATCCCAGCCACTTAAGAGGCTGAGATCTGAGGATTTCAGTGTGAAACCTGCTGGGGCAGAAAAGTCCCAAGACTTAACACCAACGAACCAAAAATGAAGCCGTGGTGCCAGTGGTAGAGCCCTAGCCTTAACCAAAAACGCCCGGGGACAGCACCCAGGCCCTGAGCTCACGCCCAGAGCTCCTTCCCCACCAAAAAGTACCATTACTTCCCCGTCTGCCTAACTGACGTGCTGAGGTCGAAGTGAGCAAGCCAGAGACGGAGCCATGCTCGCCATGCCCGACAGTGGTCTAGTTTGAATTGGCACCTGGAGGGAGGCGCAGGCTGCAGAAGAAATCGGTTTATTTTGCAAGTGTGTGTTGCCTTTCTACTGTATTTTGCAAGTGTGTGTTGCCTTTCTACTGTGTGCCGGGCACTAGAGGAGAAAAAGTTCCGAACTGGCCAAGGTTCCTGCTCCCAAGAGCCGTACGCTCGTTTTCTATTTCGTCATAATCTGTCTTCTAGCCGAGGAAAACAACGTACAGATCGGCGACCGCCGAGGGGCGGAGCAGATAGCTGAGCTCTGGCTGGGCCCCGCAGGGGACCGTGAGCGATCTCCTCGGAGCCGGCGGGCAGTACTCGTTCCTGCTCCTGAGTTGGGAGCCACAGCAGCTTGCTCGGCTCCAGCCGGAACTCCGGCGGGCGGGCGGGCGGGGACCGCGTCGGCCCGGCACAGCGGATAAACGAGAGGCGGGGCGAGCCGGCGGAGCGCCTTCGCGCCACCGCGCCGCGAGCTCAGCCTGGGGGCGGGGCTTGGGGGCGGTCCCGCCGCCGCCGCCGTGCCAGTGCGCAGGCGTGGAGGGCGTGCCCCAGCCCAGCTGCCCCGCCCGCTGCCCCAGGACGTCTACTGCGCGCGACGTGCTTCGCCGGATAAATGCGGTGGCGCCGGGGCCGTGGAGAGCTTCGGTCCTGAGCGCCTGGGCGTTCGGGCGTCTGGTGGCGTCGGGGCCCGCGCCTGAGCCCGCCCCTGTTCTTCGCTGTGCCATGGCGGACGAGGGGAAGTCGTACAACGGTCAGTGCTGGTTCTTGGGTCGGAGAGCGCCGGCGATCTGGGTCCGGGTGGGCGGCACCGGCCTAGGCCGCAGCACCGGGACGGGAGGCCACGAGAGGCCCGGCTTCCGTGGGCAGCGGTGACGGCGCGGGCCAGGCCGGGCTGGAGGCGAGGGAGCCTCGGGCACCCGCAGGACGCGAGGTGGGCGCCCGAGTTGTTGACTCGGAGAACCCTGGCGTTGGAGGACCTGTGGCTCGGAGCGGGTGGCCTGGGGGTGGGGTGACAAGATTCCTTTGAACTTTGAGGGTGGTGGATGCTTGTCAGTTCAGTTTGGCGGCCTGACTCTTCCTTTAATGTGAGTCAGCCCCTCGTTCGTGGGCTGCCCTGGTGCCCTATTTTTTAATTTTCTCTTAAACCGCGTTCAGTAGGTCTCCCCGCCCCCCCCCACCGCGAAGGTTTGGCTTAAGATTTGAACCCTACACACCAACTTTTGTACTACGCTGGCTTCGTCGTTCATCGTAGGGAATGGGAGCGTTGTGTGCTAGTTGAGATTTGAATCCTGAGTTGGTTACGCCAAACTTGAGGGAGTTAAAACTTTGAGGCTCCACCTTCTACCCTCTTCGTGTGGGTTGTAACAATATCTGACTCCTAAATTTGTTTCTGACTGTGATAAGATGAGATGGTTCCAATCAGATGCCTCCAGCATAGTAGCTAGAACTCTCTGTGACCATTAGCTTGCCCCTTCTACTCATCTATTTTTTTTCCTTAGGGTCGGTATTTACAATGTACTAGAAATTAGACTATTTTGGACGTCTGGTCGTGTGTGTCTATAGTACTGGGATCGACCCAGACCCTAGCAAATGCTAGGCAGGTATTCTATCACTAAGCTACAGACCTCAACCCCATAACTAAGCCTTTTTTTTTTTTTTTTTTTTGGTCTGCCAGTCCTGGGGCTTGAACTCAGGGCCTGGGCACTGCCCCTGAGCGCCTTTGTTCAAGGCTAGCACTTGAGCCACAACACCACTTCTGGCTTTTTCTGTTTATGTGGTACTGAGGAATGGAACCCAGGACTTCATGCATACTAGGCAAGCACATTGCCACATTCCCAGGCCTATAACTTTTAAACTCAAGCTGGCTCTAGCTCTATAAGCTGGCCCTCTGCTATTTGAGTCACACCTCCCACCTTGCTTTTTTGGGTATGTTGGTTCTGAGGCTTGAACTCAGGGTCTGGTTGCTGTCCCTGAGCCTTTGTGTTCAAGGCTTGTACTCCACCACTTGAGCCACAGCTCTACTTCCGGCTTTTGTGATAAGGATCTTACAGAATTTCCTGTGAGGGCTGGCTTCAAACCCATATTTGCAGATCTTAGTATCTTGAGTAGCTAGAATTACATGTGTGAGCCATAGGAGCCTGACATTATCCTCTTCTTGAATCAAATCTTTGAGTCCAGCTTCCAGGAAGCCACGTAACCTAGCAGATGCTCTTCCCTCCCCAGCCCCCTTCTATTCCAATATACATGTATGTGTAAATATGTGCTATATGCACATACATATTTGATGTTGAGACAGGGTTTTCCTGGCAATGTAGCCCAGGCTTATCTCATACTTTCCTTGTGTTTGTGTGTGTTCCCGTACTGGGACTTGAACTCAAGGCCTTGATCCTGTCCCTTAGCCTTTTTTGCTCAAGGCTAGGGTTACACCACTTGAACCACACCTTCACTTCTTGCTGTGTGTATGTGTGTGTGTGTGAATTGGAGACAAGCCAGGGTTGGCTCTCAAACTTGCTTTTTTTTTTTTTTTTTTTTTGGTTGGTCATGGGGCTTAAACTTGGCCTGGGCACTTTCCCTGAACTCTTCTTCAGCTCAAGGCAAGCACTCTACCACTTGAGCCATAGTACTTCCAGTTGTTTTTTTGTTTTGTTTTGTTTTTTTGTTGGTCGTGGCGCTTGAACTCTGGGCTTGGGCACTGCCCCTGTGCTCTTCAGCTCAAGGTGAGCGCTCTACTGCTTGAGCCACAATGCCACTTCCAGTTTTCTAGTGGTTTATTGGAGATAAGAGTCTCACGGACTTTCCTGCCCGGGATGGCTTTGAACCGTGATCCTCAGATCTCAGCCTCCTGAGTAGCTAGGATTGCAGGCGTGAGCCACCAGCGCCCGGCTTCACTTCCAGTTTTCTGGTGGTTAATTGGAGATGAGTCTCATGGACTTTTCTTCCGAGAGTTGGCTTTGAACTGTGATCCTCAGATCTCAGCCTACTGAGTACCTAAGTTTATAGGCGTGAACCACTGGCACCTGGCTCTTGGGGAACATTCTAGGCACACTAATATTGAGCCTGAGTCTAGTGTCTCCAACATTAAAGAGAATTTCTGTTCAAAGAAACAGAACATTTCACAAACTTCTAAGTGGCTTAGTTTAAGAACAGCAAGATATTTATTTACTTATTTACTTACTTTTGTCAGTCATGGAGCTTGAACTCTGGGCCTGGGCGCTGTCCCTGAGCTCTTCAGCTCAAAGCTAGTGCTCTACCACTTGTGCCACTGCACCACTTCCGGTTTTCTAGTGGTTTATTGGAGATAAGAATCTCACGGACTTTCCTGCCCAGGCTGGCTTTGAACCGCAATCCTCAGATCTCAGCCTCCTGAGTAGCTAGGATTACAGGCAGGAGCCATTGGCCCCCAGCTAAGATTTTATTTATTTATTTATTTTTAGGAGACCCTTAGATTCGTACTTGGCACTGACATTTGTACAATGAGGCAGAAATTGCAGATTCCAGATGGCTTTTAGGGTTCTGATTTGTGGCCAGTTACATTTTGGGGTTGTTCTCACTTCTACTTTCTGCTTCTCTTTGTAGTTATTGTTTCTGCATAATTTTCATGCATGAAGCCCTGGGTTCGATTCCTCAGTATCACATAAGCAGAAAAAGGCAGAAGGGGCGCTGTGGCTGGTTCAAATGGTAGAGTGAGCAAATGAAGCTCAGGGACAGTGCCCAGGCCCTGTGTACAAACCCCAGGATTTGGTGGTGGGGGGTGAGGGGGCGGGAAGCTTGGGGCTGGGAATGTGGCTCAGTGGCAGAGTGCTTGCCTTACATGCATGAGGCCATGGATTCGATTCCTCAGCACCATATAAGCAGAAAAAGCCAGAAGTGGTGTTGTGGCTCAAGTGGTAGAGCGCTAGCCTTGAGCTGAAGAGTTGAGGGACAGTGCCCAGGCCCAGAGTTCAGGCCCCACAATTGGCAAAAAGAAAAAAAAAAGCCATCACAGAGCAGGCTCATTCCTCTGGACAGGCAAAGCAGCTTACATGGAGGTAGCTTGTAAAGATTTAGTATGGATGGCCTCCAAGAAATTCAGGGTGCTAGAAGCTTGTAATTGCCACACCAAAGCAGCTGGGACAATGATTTATTGACTAATTTATGATGTCTGTTTGCTACTCCAGAGCATGATGACCGTGTTAGTTTCCCTCAGAGAAGAAAGAAGGGCCGGGGTCCTTTCCGTTGGAAGTATGGTGAAGGAGGGAACCGTCGATCTGGAAGAGGCGGTTCTGGTATTCGAACTTCCCGACTTGAGGAGGATGATGGAGACGTGGCAATGAGTGATGCCCAGGATGGTCCTCGAGTTCGATAGTAAGTGATTAATTGGTCTGCTTTGAATTTATCAATTTCTTTCCCCACCTGCAAGACTAAGACATGATAACCAGCTTAGTAATTGTGCAGTCTCAGTTGTAGTTTCACTAACTGTTCAGGACAGTCTTTCCTAGAGTTGACAGACATTTACTTCTCTGCTTTTCCTCAGCAACCCCTATGCCACCCGACCTAACCGTCGGGGTGATACTTGGCATGATCGGGATCGAATTCATGTTACTGTACGAAGGGACAGAGCTCCTCCAGAGAGAGGAGGGGCGGGCACCAGCCAAGATGGGACTTCAAAAAACTGGTTCAAGATTACAGTGAGTATCTTGGAAAGCAAGAGCAAAAGGATTGGGGAACCTGGGCTGGCCTTAAGTGAAGGTGTTTGCCTTTTGTTTTCTTTTTCTTTTGTTAGTCCTAGGGGTTGAACTCAGGGCCCGGGCACTGTCCCTGATCCTCTTTATACTCCAGGCTAGCACACCTTCCAGCTTTTCTGAATAGTTTATTGGCATTAAGAGTCTCAGGGGAACTTTTCTAACTCAGGTTAGCTTTGAACAGCGATCTTCAGATCTCAACCTCCTGAGTAGCTACAATTATAAGCAGGAGCCAGGACCGCCCAGCTGTAACTGGGTTTTGTTTTGTTTTGTTTTGTTTTGTTTTTTTTAATCTCTAGTTAACCCCACAGAAAAGCCTGAAGTGGAAATGTGGCTCAAATGGTAGAGGGCCAACTTTGAGCAAAAAAGCCAAGCATAGTGCAAGGCCCTGTGTTCAAGCACCAGTACCTGTGTACACACAAACAAAAAAGAAGAAGAAAAAGGGCTGGGAAGGTGGCTCAGTGGTAGAGCGCTTGCCTTGCATGCATGAGGCCCTGGGTTTGATTCCTCAGCACCACATAAGCAAAAAGAAAAAAGCTGGAAGTGGCGCTGTGGCTCAAGCACTAGCCTTGAGCTGAAGAGCTGAGGGACAGTGCCCAGGCCCAGAGTTCAGGCCCCACAACCGGACCCAAAAAAAAAAAAGAAGAAAAGGAACACCAAAGAACCAGTTCAAGGAAGGGAATGGAGGAGATAGGAAGAAAAGTAGGATAATGTGGTCAGGAGGTAACTTCTCTGGATGACTCTATTTGATTAAGCTGAGTGTAGATCTAGGAGTTCTCTAGAGTTCTCTAAGGGACAGGCAAGGTATAGATAATACGTTAGAATTTATAGAATTAGGCATTTCATTTTATTTTATTTTTTGTTGCTTGTCCTGGGGCTTGAACTCAGGGCCTGGGCACTCTTCCTGAGGTGTTTTTTTTTCTCTCAAGGCTAATGCTTTACCACTTTAGCCACATTTCTGCTTCTTATTGTAGGTAAGAGTCTCAGGGACCTTTCCCACCCAGCTAGTTTCAAACTGTGATGCTTAGATCTCAGCCTCTTGAGTAGCTAACATTACAGGCATGAGCCACCAGCACTCAACTAGAAAATCTAATTTTTAAAGAGGGTGCAAGATTGTGTGGGCTGTGCAAGGTTATTTACATAGTGTTCCCTTCTTCTCTCTGTGTCTAGATTCCTTACGGCAGAAAGTATGACAAGGCATGGCTCCTGAGCATGATTCAGAGCAAATGCAGTGTCCCTTTTACCCCCATTGAGGTAAGGCAAGATCTGAGTGGGTTGGCTGGCTTTATACCAGGAAGGGCAGGGCAGTGGGAAGCCGCTGGGACAGACTGTGGGCTCCTCCAAGTCTAAGGCTCTTGTTTCCTCCACTTACAGTTCCATTATGAGAACACACGGGCCCAGTTCTTTGTGGAGGACGCCAGTACTGCTTCTGCTTTAAAGGCTGTCAACTATAAGATCCAGGATCGAGAGAACCGAAGGGTATGTATAAAGGGCCTGGTGTGGCTGGAGGTAGAGATAGGACAGGAGCTTGGTTCTAGAGCTTTGGCTTCACTGGGCTCTACTCTGCCCTTTATGTCTTCTCTCCAGATATCTATCATCATCAATTCCTCTGCTCCACCCCTTACTGTTCAGAATGAATTGAAGCCTGAGCAAGTAGAGCAACTCAAGGTAAAACAGGTTAAAGTAACTTCTCCCCCTCACCAACCTCACACACACACACACACACACACACACACACACACACACACACACACACACACACACACACACACACACACACACACACACACACACACACACACACACACACACACACACACACACACACACGTCCAGTGACCACTGAACCCTTTGTCTTCTCTGCAGCTGATTATGAGCAAACGATATGATGGTTCCCAGCAAGCTCTTGACCTCAAGGGTCTCCGTTCAGACCCAGGTATGGCTGGCAGCAGTGATTTTCCACTAGATGGAGAAAGGGACTCTTGGGCAGAGCAAGTTTGAGGATGGTTTGGTTTTCACACTGCCTAGACAAGCCTTCTCAGATTTTCCTTTCTTTATACTTCTTGAAGATTTGGTGGCCCAAAATATTGACGTTGTCCTGAATCGGAGAAGCTGCATGGCAGCTACCCTACGAATCATTGAAGAGAACATCCCCGAGGTGAGGCTGTGGCCCATCAGTGGCTTAAGGAGGTGGAGTGGGACAGACAGGACGGGATGAGCGGTCAGATCTGTCCCTGACCCACTTCACTGATGAGATTTCCTCTGAACTCTCCTCTACCCACAGCTATTGTCTTTGAACTTGAGCAACAACAGGCTATATAGACTGGATGACATGTCCAGCATTGTACAGAAGGCACCCAACCTGAAGATCCTAAATCTCTCCGGAAATGAAGTGAGAATTGATGTTCTGGCAGTGTTTTTGATGGGGTAGACAGTGGATGGGGAGGAGCATGGCTGGCCACGTGGGAGGTGAACTGAGAGATGAGGGTGGTTTGGCATGCGGATCCATCTACTTACAAGGTCTTCTTTCTTCCCCTTCCCCCTGTCCTTTGCAGTTGAAGTGTGAGCGGGAGTTGGACAAGATAAAAGGGCTGAAGCTAGAAGAGTTGTGGCTTGATGGAAATGCCCTGTGTGACACATTCCGAGACCAATCCACTTACATCAGGTCAGTTGTAGGTTCTGACTCCCCTCCTGGGGACCTTCACCCCTGGGAGGCTGAGCTAATGCACCCTGACCAGTGCCCGTCTGCAGGAGACCATGCAACCCTGAGCTGGAACCACCTAAACTTTGGGAGGACCACGTGTTCTTTCCTTTCCTCTGTCTGTGTCTCCTAGCTTTGTCCCAAACTCTCTTTTCTTTCTTCTCACCAGAGTATTGTCTTTGGTCTATGGTCTTTCGCCTTCCTTCCTGAACACAGCCTTTTCTAGAATCTCCCTACCCTATTGTTCCAGGAAGGACACTTCCCCTTTTTCTAATCTAACCGGGGGAGTGTCATACATGCCCCGTGTGTGGGGTTGCCTTTAGCTCAGTACCTTGTGTCCTTGGGCTAAGAAAGCCCTCTGTGACTGGGGCTTCCTGCTGAGATGGACCTTCCCTCTTTGCCCTGTACTGGCCCCTCTTGCCTTTGTAGCAAGAGGGACCCTCTTCTCAAAATGTACTTGCCCAAGGCCACGGCCTGGGCCTTCCTCCCCATGCTGAGGTTGCGGTCTCATTAAAGGCTGGTACAATGCCATCTGTCTCTGACCCAGTGCTGTGAACTGGGCCCTCCCTGGAAAAGAAACCTGGGTTCCCCATGACCTGTGACCAAAGCCGGGGCCCTGCCAGCAGGCGAGAGGCTCCCCAGGCAGGTGCTGGGCGTGGAGGCCACGGGGGCATACGCTGCCAAGGAGACGAGAACTGAGCCTCTTGGGGGCTCTGCCCCTTCCTCACTCGCACACTTCACGTCACCCTGCTTGGCCCCGGAGGATGGCTGGTTAGCCAGAGACGGGTAAGATTCCTCAGGGAAGGAACAACCTAAGACAGGCACAGTCGCATAGGGGCCAGCAGGAGAGAGCTCGGGGGCCAACAGAGGTGGGGCACAGACCCTCACCCCCCCAACTTTGCAGGGGCCTGAACCCTCACCCCTTCGGAGGGAGGTCTCCTGCCCCCATGGCTGTTTGCTTCCCACGCCCAGCTCAGAGTGGGACCCAGGTAGCAGACAGAGACCTGGCCAACAGCAACTCGGAACTGCAGCAGGGGTTCTTTCTGTCATTATCTACCTTGGACCACGGGGCAAGTGGAAGCCGAAGGAAAAGGCTGTGTCCGGGGCATATTTCTTGTCGTTTCCCCTCCTTTTTTTCTAAATTCTTCTTTGCCTATGGCTCTTCACTTTTTGCTTTGCTTTGTCCTTTCTTCCTTTTCAACTTTACTCTCCACTCCGTCCCTGGCCTCTGCCTTTCTCTGCTCTGCCCTTTCCTCTCGTCCTTTGCCTTTTTTCCTCCTGAGCCCCGTCTTGCTCATCTCCCTGCCCCATCATCCTGTGCCATCCTTGTGGTGTGTTCTGGTCTTGGCCAAGGCCAGACCTCGCAGAACTGATGGATACCTGGTGAGGCAGCGGAGCCCCTGGGCTCCCACCCCATTCCCTCCTCCCGGGGCTGCTCAGGTGAGTAGGTGGAAGGTAAGGGGGGCCAGGAGGGGAAGGAGATCCTGGGCTTAAAGCCTAGGCCGGGAGTGCTGCTCTTTTGTGGCATTTGGGGTCAGGCAGAGAAGAGAAGAGACAAACCGCCTTCAAGGCAGTCCAGACAGGGTGCCCCGAGTGAGGTGGGGAATGGGGACACTTTGGGGAGGAGCGGGGTGATGAGCAGGATGGAATGGGCTGTCCCTCGGGTGTTGGTATATTTGCTCCTAGAGCAGCCCAGGAGGCATGGTGGCTCTGAAGCATCACTCACTCGTGTCCCGTTCTTGACAGCGCCATTCGCGAACGATTTCCCAAGCTATTACGCCTGGTAAGTAAGTCCAGATATTTTTTCCCTCTTTTTTGTCAGTCGTGGGGCCTGAACTCTGGGCCTGGGCGCTGTCCCTCAGCTCTTCAACTCAAGGCTAGTGCCCTACCACTTGAGCCACAGCGCCACTTTCAGCTTTTTTCTGTTTACATGGTCTGAGGAATGGAACCCAGGGCCTCATGCATGTGAGGCAAGCACTCTACCACTGAGCCAACTTCCTAGCCCCTTTTCTTTTTAAGAACTTGTTTCATTCTGTTGTATTAAGTATCTATAGCATCTTCTACTTCCCAGTATTACATGTTTTTAAATGATGACCCTTAACTTGGAAACCTGTATCTCTTTGAGAATCCAATAAAGATAATAATCATCTTCCAGGAAAAATGCCTGTAGGCAAAAGTTGGCATTATCAGACTGCTGGACACTTTGCTTAACCTCTTTAACAGTTGACTTCTGACCCTTTGCTCTTCCCTACAACATAATTTTCACTTGGCAGGATGGCCATGAGTTACCCCCACCAATTGCCTTTGATGTTGAAGCCCCCACGATGTTACCGCCCTGCAAGGTGAGAAGTGGGGGAGGACTTGCAGCTTTTTGCGAGAGGAGTACTGTTCCTGTGTTCCTGATGGCTGTGTGGCTCCAGGGAAGCTTTGTGTGTGTGTGTTTACAGAATTATTATTCCTGCTATTACTGTTTTGTGACTATCCTAAGTAGTTGATTAGAGTTCAGAGTCTTACAAACCTTCCTGCCCAGGCCATCTTCAAACTGCAATCCTCAAATCAGCCTCCTGAGTTGCTGGGGTTGTTGGCATGAGCCGCAGACACTGGGAGCGGATTTGTTGTTGTTGTTAGTATTAAGGAGCTGCACAGAGGGGTTACAATTCCATAAGTAAGGTAACAAGCACAATTCTTCTTGGGTAATCTCACCCCCAGGGAAGCTATTTCGGAACAGAAAACCTGAAGAGTCTGGTCCTGCACTTCCTGCAGCAGTAAGTATCCCAGGGCCCCTGAGCAGAGCTCACTCTGGGGAGCTTGCTGTGTGCCTTCACGGATTCAGACCACAGGGCTCAGGCATTTGTTTTTTGCATCCCACAGGTACTATGCAATTTATGACTCTGGAGACCGGCAGGGGCTCTTGGATGCCTACCATGATGGGGCCTGCTGCTCACTGAGCATTCCTTTCATCCCCCAGAATCCTGCCCGGTGAGTGTCACGTCCCAGAGCCTGCCCAGGACCCCAGGCTGCCCAGCACATACAGGCTACCTAGTACCCTGTTCTGACTACCACCTGCTTTTCCTCTTACCCTTCCAGAAGCAACTTGGCAGAGTACTTCAAGGACAGCAGAAATGTGAAGAAGCTAAAAGACCCCAGTAAGTGGGATGGGAGCAAAATAATATGGGAAAGGATGGGGAGGCCTCAGCACAGGGGTGCCAGGCTCCCCAGCCTCACTTTCTTCTCTCTCGCCCACAGCCCTGCGGTTCCGTCTACTGAAGCATACACGTCTCAACGTTGTTGCCTTCCTTAATGAGTTGCCCAAAACTCAGCATGACATCAATTCCTTTGTGGTAGACATAAGTGCCCAGACAGTAAGCACCTATTTCTGAGCCAACAGATGTTTGGAATCGAGGGTGGGGGTGGGAGACAGCATTTATTGAGGGGGTTGCTTAGACTCTGGCTGGGAAGCCTATAATGTACCTGGTACTTCTCTTTCAGAGTACATTGCTGTGTTTTTCTGTCAATGGGGTCTTCAAAGAAGGTGAGAATCTTTTGAATCTTGAGTTTACTGTGTAGTCCCTCCCCCAATAAAGATCTTTTTGGGGATTCTTAGCATCCCAGCCATTTCCTCATCCCTTTTGTGCTTTGCCCCAACTCATCTTAAATTGACCCGTGATCCACCTGTCCTATCTGCTAAGAAACAAAGGCCTGGAAATGACACACAGACAGACTTTGGAGTGGAGCAATTTCTTTTTGTGCTTTGTTTCTGTGCGTCTGTGAGCAAGTTGTATCACTCATATTGATAGTTTTTTGTTTTGTTTTGCTTGTGCCAGACCTGGGGCTTGAACTCAGGGCCTTGGTGCTATAGAGGGAGCTTTTCTGCTCAAGGCTAGCGCTCCACCACTTGAGCTACAGCTCCAAACTGGCTTTCTGGTGATTAATTGGAGATAAGAGTTCTATTGGGGGGCAGCTGGGGGTGGGCTGGGAAGGTAGCTCAGTGTTAGTGTGCTTCCAGCAGATAAAGCTGGAAGTGGCGCTGTGGCTCAGGTGGTAGAGTGCTAACCTTGAGCTGAAGAGCTGAGGGACAGTGCCCAGGCCCAGAGTTCAGGCCCCACCACCAACAAAAATAAAAATAAAAGAGTTCTATGGGCTTTCCTGCCCCAGCTGGCTTCAAACAGTAGTCCTCAGATCTCAGCCTCCTGAGTAACTAGGATGTCAGGCATAAGTCAGGCCCTCCTATTGTTTTATTTGTAAATTAGGGTTAGTAATGCCTTACCATAGTATGCTACAATGGAAGTCAGTGAAATGACCTGAGACACTCACTAGCTTAGTAAACTGTAGTTCTCTCCGGCATGACACTTTCCCCACATCTGTTCCCCAGTATTTACATAATCATTCCTGGTTGGTCTACTTAGGGTTCTTTATATAAGACCAGGGTATAAGTACCTGTTTGTGGGGCTGGGAAGGTGGCTCTGCGGTAGAGCGCTTGCCTTGCATGCATGAGGCCCTGGGTTCGATTCCTCAGCACCACATAAGCAGAAAAAGCCGGAAGTGGCTCTGTGGCTCAAGTGGTAGAGCGCTAGCCTTGAGCTGAAGAGCTGAGGGACAGCACCCAGGCCCAGAGTTCAGGCCCCACAACCCGCAAAAAAAAAAACAAGAACCTGTTTGTAAATGTAAAGCCTTAATAACTATAAGAGGTCCTTGCTGCTCTTCTCATTGCAGTGGATGGGAAATCTAGGGATTCTCTGCGAGCTTTTACCAGGACCTTCATCGCTGTTCCTGCCAGCAATTCAGGGTAAGTGTTGTACATTGGCCACAGCCAGCAGTGTAGTGATTGGAAGACAGAGTCCATTCTTGGGGAGTTTTCAGAATTGCAGAAAGGCAACAAATCACAGCAAAGGCTTACAGTAGTGGTTAAAAGCTTGACGCTGTATTGGATTTTTGGGCATCCTGTTTGCACTTGTGTATTCTTCCAGCACTTTTAGCTTTAGGCCAGTTTCATTATCTGTATTTTATTTCTGCTTGGTGTTTTTTTCCTGGGCTAGACTGGCCTTTCACCTTAACAGCCAGGAGTCCTCCCTGACCATCAGGTGCCAGTATGTATGCCACCATTCATTCTTAGCTTCTCATCTGAAGATGTGTGTAACAATATCCACATCCTGAGTTTCTTGTGAAAATTAGAAAATGAAAAAGATAATAACTAAAAGAGCATGGTGGTATACATCATAAAATTTCAGTACTTGGGAACTGAGGCAGGAAGACTGAATTTGAGGCCAACCTGGGCAATACAGTAAGTTATAGTAAGTACCAGGCTAGCCATTCCATACACACACACACATACACACACAATGTAATAATTGTCAGTGGGTTGAGAGAGATTATCTAAGTCTTGATGTCTGAATTAGTCCTTCTAAATATAGAGTCCAGGGAGGGGAGTTACCCATAAAAAGGAACAGCTAAAAGTTGAGAAGGGGCACCATGTGGTTATATTAAGAAGAGTGTGTATGTCAAGTGTCTTAAAAACTTGGAAGAATGGATGGGTGCTAGTGCCTCATGCCTGGAATCATATCTACTCAGGAGGCTGAGTTCTGAGGATCATGGTTCAAAACCAACCCAGGCAGGAAAGTGGTAAGACTCTTGTCTCCAGTTAACTACCAAAGAGAAAAGCTGGAAGTGGCACTGTGGCTTTAGTGGTAGAGTACTAGCCTGGAGCAGAGACGTTGAGGTGTACACATACACACTCACACACGCACGCACACACACACGCACGTGCGCGCCTGCACACACACATATGCAGGGAAGGGATGAGAGGTGGTTTGTCCAACTGTTTAAGGCGCTCTTTGTCCTCAAGGCTATGTATTGTAAACGACGAGCTGTTTGTGCGGAATGCCAGCCCTGAAGAGATCCAAAGAGCCTTCGCCATGCCTGCACCCACACCTTCCTCCAGCCCAGTGCCCACCCTGTCCCCGGAACAGCAGGAAATGCTGCAAGCATTCTCTACACAGTCTGGCATGAACCTGGAGTGGTCCCAGAAGTGAGTGCTAAGGGCAAACTGAGAGGGCTGGGAATGTGGCTTAGTGATAGAGGCTTGCCTAGCATGCATGAAGCTCTGGGTTCGATTCTTGACTACCACATACAGTATGTGGTAGTGAAAATGGCACTGTGGCTCAAGTGGTAGAGTACTAGCCTTGAGCAAAAGAAGCTCAGGGACAGCGCCGGTGGCTCACATCTGTAATCCTAGCTACTCAGGAGGCTGAGATCTGAGGATCACAGTTCAAAGCCAGCTCCCACAGGAAAATCTGAGACTCTTATCTCTAATAAACCACTAGAAAACCAGAAGTGGCACTGTGGCTCAAGTGGTAGATCGCTTGTCTTCAGCTGAAGAGCTGAAGGACAGCACCGAAGCCCAGAGTTCACACCCCACAATTGACCAAAAAAAAAGCAGCTCAGGGACAGTGCCTTGGCCCTGAGTTCAAGCCCCAGGACTGGCAGAAAAAAAGGGGGAATAGTAAACAGATAAGGGCTAAGCGGGGGAGGAGAACTTTTTTTTTTTAGTGTGTTTTTATTATCCCCTTGAAATACATAGGTACATTCCTAAGGAGAGATTAAATGGAAGGAAATTAAGTCATTGTTTTGAAAAGAAATAATGGTTTGAGGGCTGGGAATGTAGCTTGGTGGTAGAGTGTTTGCCTAGCATGGGTTCCATTCCTCAGTACCACTTCCAGTAAAAGCCCCAGGACTGGCAGAGAGAAATAATGGTTTGGAATAAGTTCTGCTTTTTTTTGCTGATAAGGCTCAAAGAGGACCTCAATATAACAAATTTTTCTAAAATCAAAATGAAGTCCCTTTTGGAAAGTTTTTCCAGATAGATTCCTGCTATGTACTCAGGGTAGTTTTGAACTCTTGGGGTCAAGTGACCTTCCTTCCTCGCCCCCAGAGATGGGGACCACAAGTGCATGCCACTATGCCTGGCTCTAGTCTTTTTCTTTGTACTGCTGAGACCTAGTTTCTAAACCATGTTAACTCTTTATCAATGAAAAACGCTTGAAAATCAATATTTTTTTTTTTTTGGGTCCGGTCGTGGGGCCTGAACTCTGGGCCTGGGCACTGTCCCTCAGCTCTTCAGCTCAAGGCTAGCGCTCTACCACTTGAGCCGCAGCGCCACTTCCGGCTTTTTTTCTTTTTGCTTATGTGTGCTGAGGAATCGAACCCAGGGCCTCAGGCATGCAAGGCAAGCGCTCTACCACTGAGCCACCTTCCCAGCCCCTCAATATTTCTTAATATTTGATGCCTACCAATAGGTAGACATTTTGATTTTTACTATTTTTTTGGGTGAGGGGAGGGGACAGTCCTGGGGTTGAACTCAGGGCCTGGGCTCTGTCCCTGAGCTGCTGCTTTTGCTCAGAGCTGGTCCTCTACCACTTGAGCCACAGCTCCACCTCCAGCTTTTTTGTTAATTTACTGAAGTCTCATGGACTTTCCTGCCTGGGCTGGCTTTGAACCTCAATCCTCACATCTCAGCCTTGTGAAGTAACTAAGATTATAGGTGTGTGCCACTGGCACCCAGCTATTTTCTGTTGTTTTCTTCCTGTAAATAACAGTACTGTGTGTGTGTGTGTGTGTGTGTGCGTGTGTGTGTGCACGTGTAGTAGAATGTAGGCTAGATTCTGAAGGGACATTTAGTGGAGAGTAAGGGTTCTCATGCTGTGCTATCTTCTCCTTTCCCCTGTTCACTGCCCCCCCCCTCCCCGCGCCACCCTCCAGGTGCCTTCAGGACAACAACTGGGACTATACTAGATCTGCCCAGGCCTTCACTCATCTCAAGGTAGGGCTGCGAATACCAGACAGGAATCTCTGGCCCTTCTGGAGGGTCTGGTGCAGAGAGCTATCATGAGCATTCAGGAAAGGGCACACCTGGCTCCAGTGACCTTTCCTTTTCCTCCAGGCCAAGGGTAAGATCCCAGAAGTGGCATTCATGAAGTGATCCACATCAGCCCACAAGAAGCCCCCGTGTAAATAGCCCGTGGATATGATCATATGGTTGCCATCTGTTGTCTCCTGTCTGGCCCGAGGCCACCTGTGACTGTGACCGAGGGTGGAGCTCCGCAGAGCACCTCTCCTCACCTGCCTTCTGGAAGACTGCGTGGAGACTTCCGGAAGATTGAGCCTCATGGTGCCAGGAAGCCAAAGCTTACTTTGTAGAACTGACACTAAACTACCCGAAGGACTTAGGTGCTTTGTGTACTTAGCCCCAGGATTCCCCTTCCTTTTTAAGATAAAGAGTGATATTGTATTTTGTCTCCTGACACTGTCTGTGTCAGTTCCTGGGACGGCCGCGGCGGGGCGGGAGGAGGGGCGGGGCGGCGGGCGGGAGAAGGGGCGGGGCGGGGCGGGAGGAGGGGCGGGGCGGCGGGCGCGAGGAGGGGCGGGGCGGGAGGCGGGGGGGGGGAAGGGGCGGGGCGGGAGGAGGGCCGCGGCGGGGCGGGAGGAGGGGCGGGGCGGCGGGCGGGAGGAGGGGCGGGGCGGCGGGCGGGAGGAGGGCCGCGGCGGGAGGAGGGCCGCGGCGGGGCGGGAGGAGGGGCGGGGCGGGAGGAGGGCCGCGGCGGGGCGGGAGGAGGGGCGAGGAGGCCCTCACTGGGCTGGGGGGGAGGTGGGCCCTCGCGAGAGGAAGTTCCGCCCCGGAAGCGACCCTGCACAGGCCATGGCTGCGTCCTGGATATGGCGGCTGCCCAGGCTGAGAGTCCCTCTGCGGCTGCTGCCCGCGCGCCGACCTCTGCACGACAAGGCCCCATCACGAGACCTGCTGCTCTTTGAGCACGAGCGGGGCCGATTTTTCACCATCCTTGGGCTGTTCTGCGCGGGCCAGGGTGTCTTTTGGGCCTCCCTGACCGTGGCAGCCTTATCCCCACCTCCAGTCTCTGCACCACCTCAAGACGCTGGGGCCCCCAGACAAGGCCGCTTCGACCCGCGCTCCGCGCTCTGGCGGTACGCACTGGCTGTGGGCTGCGGTACCATTGGTAAGGCATGAACTCGCTTCCCCACCGCTCGTGGGATGGTGGGTATAAAAACTTCATTCAAGTAAAGGGAGAGAGGGACTTGTGCCCTCCCTGATGAGCAGGGTAATAGGGACCTGCCTCGGTAGGAATGCGGAATAGCTACGGTAGGGCTGTTCCTTTTGTGGTTGTAAGGTTATTTTTATAAAATGGGGTCGGACACGTAAATAGTTGATGATGAACTACACAAGACTGGGGTTGTAAGAGCTCAAAACTACTGTCATCACAGAAAGACTGGAAGTAACTCAACCCTACAGTGAAAACTCAACTCTTTTTTTTGTTGTTGTTACAGGAACCTTGATACTTGGTGGTGGCTTTCTCTTCTCCCTCCGATCTGTGCGTTCAGTGATGCTTCGAGCTGGAGGGCAGCAGGTGACTTTGACCACTCATGGTCTTTTTGGCTTGAGGACTCACCTCACTGTTCCGCTGAACCAGGTATCTTGCATGGCTCACCGAGGGGAAGTCCCTGCTATGTTACCTCTGAAAGTCAAAGGCCGGTGCTTCTACTTCCTCTTGGACAAAGCTGGACACTTTCCCAATGCTCAGCTCTTTGACGGCACTGTGGGTGCCTATCGGAACTTGTGAAAAAACCACCTTGCGGGGGATGAAAACTTAAGGATTTTACAAGGGTCACAAAAGAGGGCCCAGGATTCATTAACAACAAATAAAGGAGTCTTCCAAAGGGTAACTGCTTGATGCATCCATGCTTGGTTTAGCATTTATTCCTTCTTCCAACTTATTTAATACCAATGAATATCAGGATGAAGAAGGCAATGTGTGGCTGGGAACATGGCTCAGTGGTAGAGTGCTTGCCCTGCATGCCTGAGGCCCTGGGTTTGATTCCTCAGCACCACATAAGCAAAAAAGCCAGAAGTAGTGCTGTGGCTCAAGTGGTAGAGCACTCATCTTGAGCTGAAGAGCTGAGAGACAGTGCCCAGGTCCAGAGTTCAGGCCCCAGTCTGTTGTCAGACTGACAACAACAACAACAAAAAGGTAATGTCATATTTCGGTACAAAACAGCTATTGGAAGTAGGGGGTGTCTGTCACATTTCTCTGATGAGGGAAAAACGGGCTCCCAGCATAGACAAGGATTGTTGGCACTTGGGCGGTAGTCTGGCTGCAAAAGGCACATAGGTGATCAGAAATTCAAGGTCCATTCAGGCCAGTCTTCAGTCATCCAGGTCGATGTGTGTGGCTCAATGAAAATCTCTCTCGCAGTTCCTTGAGGGCCATTATTCTCTAAAGGCTCATATTGGCTGGATTTGAGATTGCACTGTATGATCTGGAGCACTAGGACCACACACCACAATACCAGATTCACCCAAGAAGAGGTCTGTAAGAGAGAAGCGAAGTGTGAGGCGTGGAACTCAGATCTAGTCTTTCTTCCCCCACACACCAGCTTTTGTCTGTTGTGTCAAAATGACACTTCAACTCCTCTCAGCAGTACTCATGCAGCTACAGGTACTTAAACAAATCTGAGTCTCACTTCAGCATTATGTAGGTTGGAATAAAACGGCAGAGCCGTTCCAGGGGGTGTCCACGGGATTTTCTGGGCTTCAGAACAGCTGTGAGGTCAAAAAAGACAGTTGTGAGCAAAAGGGAGCAAACCCTAAGCACTCTTGTGCTTAGATTGGTAAATGGGAAGTTACATCATTTCCCCCTGCAGAAGGAATGCAGTCAACTGCCTCTCCCTTTACCTAACTGTATGCTTCTGGGAGATGATGGAATCACAGAGAGAGCTGGTACCATATCGAAGGACACAGGCAGTCACTAAAACCAGGAAGGCTGCAATAGCCGAGATGGGCAATCCAATGTAGACCCCTATTGGACAGCTGAGGAAGAGGAGACAAGCCTTGTTCAAGATGTGATTCATCCTACCTCAGCCCCTGATCCTCAAAGAGTGGGGCAATCACCTGTTGAAATTCTTGATGCAGCTGCAGGAGATCCAGATCAGAAGCAGGAGGCAATAGAGAGCCAGGAAGCCGGAAGTCCCACTCACAAAGTAGCAGAGGGATGGAGCTGAGGGGCAGGATAAAGCCAGGGAGGTGCCATTCACAAAAGCCACCCCCCCATACAAGGGACAGCTACCACTGAAGAAGTCCTGTGGAAAGAAGTTGAATCCAACACCTTAAACCATTACCTCAGAATGTAGACTTCTGAAATGTCAGGGATAACTTGAGCCAGAGACACTCCTAAGTGTGTACTGTCAGTTTCAGTTTGTTTTTTTTTTTTTGGTCGGCCGTGGGGCTTGAACTCTGGGCCTGGGTGCTGTCCCTCAGATCTTCAGCTCAAGGCGAGTGCTCTACCACTTGAGCTACAGTGCCACTTCCAGTTTTCTGGTGGTTTATTGGAGATAGGAGTCTCACGGTTTCTCTTGCCCTGGCTGGCTTTGAACCGCGATCCTCAGATCTCAGCCTCCTGAGTAGCTAGGATTACAGGCGGGAGCCACCAGCGCCCGGCAAATCTGTGAGACTTTTTTTTTTTTTTTTGGGTCCGGTCGTGGGGCCTGTACTCTGGGCCTGGGCGCTGTCCCTCAGCTCTTCAGCTCAAGGCTAGCGCTCTACCACTTGAGCCACAGCGCCACTTCCGGCTTTTTTTTCTTTTTGCTTATGTGGTGCTGAGGAATCGAACCCAGGGCCTCGAGCATGCAAGGCAAGTGCTCTACCACTAAGCCACCTTCCCAGCCCCAGTTTCAGTTTCTATTGCTGGGACAGAGGGATGAATTTGGATGGCCTATTGGAAAGTGAAACCTGCCATGCTCAGCAACTAGGCACTAATTACAGGCACTTTTTTTTTTTTGGTGGGGGGGGGGAGGGGAGACAGGAATTGAACCCACGACCTCATGCATGCTAGGCAAGCACTCTACCACTAAGCCACCTTCCCGGTCCCCCGAGCTTCTTTTGCTCAAAGCTAGTGCTCTACCACTTGAGCTACAGCACCACTTCCAGCTTTTTCTGTTTATATGGTACTGAGGAATAGAACACAGGGTTTCATGCATGCTAGGCGAGCACTCTACCACTGAGCCACATTCCCAGCCCAGTACTTACTTTTAAAGTGTATTCATCTTTTGAAAGTCTCATCTATGTAGCTCAAACTGTCCTTGAACTTATGATCTCCTTTAAGGTTTCCCAACAGCTAGGACGTGAGCCAACATCACTAGTGATAACTTCAATGATTAGATGCAGCCATGGCAGTAATAAACACAAGTTTATTAGTTTTTGTCACTAAAAAAATAAATGGTATCCTGATCATATATATACCACACAGCTTTATTTCTTGGTATGTCACCACAAATGGCTTCTACCTTACGGTCGCAGGGCCTAAGCTGACGGTTCAGATCGGGCCTAAGGTTGTGCGGTGGGAAAATGGCTCGATGTAACGCTACCAGAGGTCTGATCCGTTGGGCGAGTGAACCAAGATCTGACACGGCCTGGCCGGGGTCCACAGCCCGGTTAGCCGTATTTCGGAACAGTGCTTACCGGGACCAGAACTCAGCCAGAAACCCTCACCTCCCGTGACCCGAAGGCTGACCCACGCCCCGTAGCCACACCTGGGTCCAGGCCATCGACACGGCCGCCACGGCCCCGCAGACGGAGCAGGCAGCGAAGAGCACGAACTCGACAAAACGCAAACAGGCACGCCATGGGGCCCGAGGCACCAGAAACCAGCGTAGCTGCAGCGAGCGGCGCCGGCGCGTCCGGCGATTGGCGCGCCCGACGTCACTTCCGAGGGTGGGGCCTATTTACAGAGATGTAGGCGGCCCGAGGCGAGACGCCGCATCCGGGCGCGAAGTCGGTTTCGAGGCCGCCGCGGCGGGGCCCGGCCTCACAGCGGCAGGTACAGCGAGTAGTCCGAGAGCGCCCAGCGGCGGGCCGGGCGGCCCGTGCGGCCGATCATGGGCAGCTTCTGCACGTAGCGGGACGCCGGGCTGGGCCCGTACGGGGCGGGGAACGCAGTCTGGAAGAGGCGCCCGCGGCAGCGCCGCCCGGCCTGCCGCCCCGCGATGATGAAGCGGAAGTGGGGGGCGCCGCGCGGGGCGAAACGGCTCTTCTGAAAGACGTCGCGGGTGCCGGCGCCGGGGCCCTGCTGGCGCGGCGCTCCCCGAGCCCGGTGCACGCGAGGCAGCGGCCTGCCCTCGGACGCCAGCGCCGAGGCCGACGGGCCGCCGCCCCGGGGACTCTCGTCACCCTGCGGGCTGACCATGGCGCTGGCCGTCAGCTGCGGCATTTTGCGCACCGAGTCTGGGGCGGCAGCCGGCTCCTTCTTGTCCCCGGGCGGCCGCGGGGCCGCGGGCGCGGGTTGGCCGGTGCCGAAGCGGGTGGCCAAGCTGTCGCCGAAGAAGGCGTAGAGCTCCCGGTAGGTGTCCGCCAGGGTCACGGAGGGAGTCGGGTCTTCCGGGCCCGCGCCTCCCGGCGGCAGCGGAAGGCCGGGCCCAAAGCCTGGTTCTGCGCCGCCCCCCGACGGCGACTCCTGCAGGAGAAGGCTGTCCCACGGCAGCTCGTCCGGTCGCCGGCAGCCCCTGACCCCAGGGCCGCCGCGGCTGGGCTCAGCTGCCTGGGCCTTCATCTTAAGCAGTCGCTCTACGGCCACCTGGAAGAGCAAGGGACTCGTTTGGACAAAAACCGGGAGGAACCTGGCCCAGCAAGCGCCCTACATAAGCCTAAATTCACGCAGGCCAGAGAAGCTGGAAGCAACAAGCACTCACCAGAATGGCCCCATACACTTTGTGGCCATCTGCCTTGACCTGGGCATTAGACACCGAATAATCATCCAGCACTGCCTGCAAGTTTGTCCAGTAAGTGGACAGATGTGGGTACAGTACTCGTTCTACTGCCTGGAAGGAGAGAGAGAAGGTTCAATAAGCACCTGTATTGCTTACTGCCAGGTCAAGTACCCTTTCCCGTGAAAGGCTTTCACTTCTGATCATAGAGCTCAATCGTAAATTCCTTCATTAGGATATTCAACCACCGTATCTTTGGGAACCACCAAATGTCCAAGCTTGTGCTAAGCACTGGGGATAAGTACAAAGATCAGACCTACTAAATCCCTGCCATATTTCCCACGGGGTATAGGGCATAAGTAATAGTCATGGCTAACAACATAGTTACAGTATGCAAACTGCTACTGAATACAATTAGTAAGGAACTACTGTTTTTACTTAGATGTGACCTGGAACTCATTTCAAACTAAATACACAATCAGAGCCTAGCACTCTTGACTAATTAAAATCCTGTAATTCATGTTTAAAAAAAAACAACTTAGATTTCACAGGAGATGACATTTTGTGATAGGTTTTGTTTTTTTAGTTGGTCATGGGGCTTAAATTCTGTGCTCTTCAGCTCAAGGCAAGCACTCTACCACTTCAGCCACAATGCAACTTCCAGTTTTCTGGTGGTTAATTGGAGGTAAGAGTCTCACCAACCCTTCCTGCCTGGACTGGCTTGTGAACCACAATCCTCAGATCTCAGCCTCCTGAGCAGCTAGGATTACAGGCGTGAGCCACTGGTGCCTCGCTGGGATAGGTTCTGACAAATAATAGACTAGAATGAGTAATAGAAAATGTTGACAAAATTGTTCAACTCCTAGAAAAGTATGTGATTGGCTCTCAAAAGAGATATAAAAGTGGGCTGGGAAGGTGGCTCAGTGGTAGAGTGCTTGCCTTGCATGCACAAGGCCTGGGTTTGATTCCTCAGCACCACATAAGCAGAAAAAGCCAGAAGTGGTTCTGTATCTTAAGTGGTAGAGCTAGCCTTGAGCTGAAGAGCTCAGGGACAATGGTCAGGCCCCACAGCTGTCCCCCCCCCCCCAAAAAAAAGGAAACATAAAAGCATTCTTGAATTGTTATATTACGGGGCTGGGAATGTGGCTTACAGTGCTTGCCTGGCATGCATGAAGCCCTGGGTTCGATTCCTCAGCACAACATAAGCAGAAAAAGCCAGAAGTGATGCTGTGGCTCAAGTGATAGAGTGCTAGCCTTGAGCTGAAGAGCTGAGGGACAGCGCCCAGGACCAGCTTTCAGGCCCCACACCAGAAATAAATAAATAAATAAAAATTCCTCATTCAGTGAGGCCAGTATAATCCTAATAGCTTGGACAAGAACAATACATGAATAGGAAACATGATTTCATTTATGGATCTAGACTAATGATTTAAAGTTTAGTATACTTAAGACTAAACAAAAATACTGCTTATTGGAATTAACAAAGGCAGTTTATTATTAGAAAATCTAATAGAAAGCCAGGTATAGTAGTGCATGGGTACCTGGGAATAATTCAGGACAAAAAGATCTGGAGGATGCCAGGCATTGGTGCACCTGTAATCCTAGTGACTCAGGAGGCAGAGATCTGAGAATCTCGGTTTCAAAGCCAGCCCGGGCAAGGAAACCCCCATGATTTTGTCGGTCCTGGGGCTTGAACTCTGGGCTTGGGCGCTACCCCTAGCTCTTCAGCTCAAGACGAGCACTCTACCACTTGAGCCACAGCGCCACTCACTTCCTGTTTTCTAGTGGTTTATTGGAGATAAGAGTCTCACAAACTTTCCTGCCTGGGCTGGCTTTGAACCGTGATCCTCAGATTTCAGCCTCCTGAATAGCTAGGATTACAGGTGTAAGCCACCGGTGCCTGGCCCCATGAGACTTATCTCCAATAAACACCAGAAAATCGGAAGTGGCACTGTGGCTTCAGTGGAAGAGCACTCCCCTTGAGCTGAATTGCTAAGGGACAGTGCCCAGGCCCAGAGTTCAAGACCCATAACTGACAAAAAAAAAAAAAATCTGGAGGATGGAGATCAGAGGCCAGCCCAAGCTGGCCTCGAGAGCAAGACCCTGAGTTCAAACCACAAAACCAGCATTAAATAATGCATGTAAGAGGGATAAAGTTATTTCCTAACATGAAATGAGCAAGAATTTATTTATTTATTACTTATTTTTGGATCCGGTCGTGGGGCCTGAACTCTGGGCCTGGGTGCTGTTCCTCAGCTCTTCAGCTCAAGGCTAGCGCTCTACCACTTGAGCCACAGCGCCACTTCCGGCTTTTTTTTCTTTTTGCTTATGTGGTGCTGAGGAATCGAACCCAGGGCCTCATGTATGCAAGGCAAGCGCTCTACCACTAAGCCACCTTCCCAGCCCAAGAATTTATAAAATGGGTTTAGATCAACATCTACCAAGCAGGACTTTTGAATTAACACTTTACAAACAGAAGACATTACTAAGCCTAGCCTAAAACAGCAACTCAGTACATGACACTGCAGCACAGGCTTATGCCACTTGTACAGTAAAAGACAATATTGTATTTCCAACACATGTCAACTCATGATTCTCAAGAAAAGTCAGACTGGAGCTCAGCACCAGTGGCTTACACTGTAATCCTAGCTACTCAGGACATACATCTAAGGCTCAAGGTTTGAAGCCTGCCATGGCAGATAAATTCAAGAAACTTCCTTGAACTCTGGGCCTGGGCACTATTCCTCAGCTCTTCGGCTTAAGGCTAGCACTCTACCATTTGAGCCACAGCACCACTTTTGGTTTTCTGAGTCTCATGGCTTTTCCTGCCCAAACTGGCTTTGAACCATGATCCTCAGATCTCAGCCTCCTAAGTAGCTATGATTATAGGTGTGAGCCACCAACGCCCAGCCCTCAAGAGACTTTTATCTCCAATTAACTAGCAAAAAGCCAGAAGTGCAGTTGTGGCTCTAAGGATCCAGCCTTGAGCACAAAAGGTAAGCAAGAGCATGACGAGTTCAAGCCTCAGTACCAACACAGAAATAAAGTTAAGGTGCTTACCTTCCAGCCAAGAGCATGCAACCCAACCACAGCACCATAGTGAGAGCAGAGAGGCCGCACAGGGTCTGCCAGGACCTTCTGCAGGGAAAGCAGGATCTGCTGATAGAGGCCACTCACCAAGTCCCCATGAGTCCTGTGGAAGTAAGAGTCAGGGGAAAAGATGAGGCATAATGCTGCCCACACACAGAGACTAGCACTTGTATGGCAGTATGGGCTAGGTGGACAAAGCTACCAGGTTGGTTGACCCAGGAGACAGAACTGAAGGATCCAGGCCTTAGTATTTTGGACTTGTTTTTGTTGTGAGACAAGATCCTTATGGAGCTCACCTTGCTGTGTTTATTGCCCAGATTGAATGTGAACTTGTGACACTCCTGCCTCACACGCCCAAGTATTGGAATTACTGGTGTGTTCCAACATGCACAGCAATCTTGGTATGTTTGAAATCCAAGCCAGGCGCCAGTGGCTCATACCTGTACTCCTAGCTACTCAGGAGGCTGAGAGCTAAGGATTGTGGTTCAAAGCCAGCCCAGGCAGAAAAGTCCCTGTGAGACTTTTCTCCAATTAACCACTCAAAAACCAGAAGTGGTGTTGTGGCTCAAAGTGGTAGAATGCTAGCCTTGAGCAAAAGAGCTCAGAGACAGTGCCCAGGCCCTGAGTTCAAACCCCACAACTGACCCCCTCCACAAAAAAAAAAGGAAAGTGTTTCCCTGTTCTCAATACCCACATCCCACCCCAATCCACCCAAGACTCTTAAGTAGCTACCAGAAGATATGGCTGAGTAGGAGGGCAGCTCCATCCCTCAGAGTCCAGTGGTCATTCAGGGGATTGATGGAGGCAGCTAATGGCTCAAGGACACAGTAGAGGACACTGCCCACTAGGGAGCGGACGTAGGGCCCCAGGCAGAGGTGTGGGTTCCGAACCAGGCTACGTGCCACCTGCAGCAGCCTGTGCAGCTGCTCTAGGTCATGGCTTACAGACTTCACCTGTGGGTAGAACGAGATGGTTTAGGGAAACATGGGGAACAGGAAGGAGCTGCCATTCTGCTAGCACCTGCCATGAGCGTGACCCACTGTTGCTGGGTCATCTCCCCACAAAACTCCCCATCTCAGAATGATCACTCACCCCACTGACCACATAAACAAAGTAAGGCAGGAGCGCGGCGATCTTGGAGTTTGTCTGAAGGTCCTGCAGAGCCACCTGAAAAGAAAGGTCAGAAGGCTTGGAACCACCTACCCCAGAGGAAACTGACTGTTCTGGAGGACAGTTTAGCACTACAAGCATCTACAAGCATGAAATATCTTGAGTGTTCACACTGTCTCCACAGTTCTATCAGTTTAACCTATACAAACCCATATACACACAGCACGTCTGTTAGTAAAGTAAATGTAGCTCAGGGCCAGTGGCTCATGCCTGTAATCCTACCTAGCTACTAAAGAGAATGAGAGACTTGCAGGATCTCAGTTCGAAGCCAGCTGGAGCAGAAAAGTCTAGGAATTAACGAGCAAAATACCGGACAGGAGACTTGGCTCAATGGAAGTGCATAATATGAGCAAGAAAACTAAGCAAGAGGGCTGGGAAGGTGGCTCAGTGGTAGAGCGCTTGCCTTGCATGCATGAGGGCCTGGGTTCGATTCCTCAGCACCATATAAGCAAAAAGAAAAAAGCCGGAAGTGGCTCTGTGGCTCAAGTGGTAGAGCGTTAGCCTTGAGCTGAAGAGCTGAGGGACAGCGCCCAGGCCCAGAGTTCTGGCCCCACGAGCGGACTCAAAAAACAAAACAAAAAAAAAGAGCACAAAACCCTGCTACCAAGCTACAATACCAGTCAAAGTTAAAAAATAATTCTTAAGCCAGGTGCTAGGAGCTCACGCCTGTAATCCTAGCTACTCAGGAAGCTGAGAGCTGAGCATCACAGTTCAAAGCCAGCCCAGACAGGAAAGTCCATGAGACTCTTATCTCCAATTAACCACCAGAAAAGTGGTGAAAGTGGCACTGTGGCTCAAGTGGTAGAGTACTAGCCTTGAGCTGAAGAGTTCAAGGACAGCACTCAGGTCCAGAGCTCAAGGCCTACAACCAGCCAAAAACAGAATTTCATGTGGTTTAAGTTTGACTTTGGGGTGAATTTGTTCAAAGTGCATTATATGCATGTTGTAAGTATCACAATGAAACCCCATCTATACAATTGATTTATGATCATTTTTTAATAACAAAAGCCTGGGTGTCAGTGGTTCCCACTTACAATCCTAGCTACACAGGAAGCTGACGTGTGAGAAGTCAATCCAGACAGATAAGTCCTCCTTCTCCAATTAAGGAACAAAGGAACAGAAGTGGAAGCATGGGGTCAAGTGGTAGAGCACCAGCTGTGACTGAAAAAGCCAATGGAAAGCACAAGGCCCCAAATTCAAGCCTCAGTGCACGCACGCGCGCACACACACACACACACACACACACACACACACACACACACACACACACACACACACACACACACACACACACAACAATAAAAGTTTGCCTTTACCCCAACACGGTACATGTCGCAGGATGCTTGTGTGATCAAAGCTAGCCCAGGATACAAAGCAAAACTCCGCCCAACAAAAGTCAAATGTGCCTCAGCTCAGGCCACTCACTCACCTTCATCAGCTGTGGGTCATCCCCTAGCACAGCCCGTGTTACTTGCTGATAGTACTTGAGCAGGTCATCTGTCAGTGAAGACACTGCATTGGGTACTGTGGGAGGTTGGGCACGAAGTGGTCAGAGGTGGGAAAGGTCTCCCCAGCCCACTCCCCAATACCCAACTCTGCACAACCCCACAAGAAGTTTATTTAGACAGGGAAACCAGAGCATAGAGGCTCCAGTTGCAATCAGGGGCTGCTATGCCCTGACCAGGCAAGTAGTACATGCCTCATTACTCTCTTCTGTCTGCCAGCAGATTCCTGCTCAGTCCTCAAACCCCAAGTTTCCAAACCTCACCAGTCACCCGTGGCTCACACCTAAAAATCCTAACTACTCAGAAGGCTCACAGTTCAAAGCCAGCTGAAGGAGGAAGCCCGTGAGTCTTGTATCTCCAATTAACCACCAAAAAGATGGAAGTGGAGCTGTGGTTCAAGTGATAGAGCTAGCCTTGAGTAAAAAAGTTCATGCACAGGGGCTGGGAAGGTGGCTCAGTGGTAGAGTGCTTGCCTTGCATGCATGAGGCCCTGGGTTCGATTCCTCAGCACCACATAAGTAGAAAAAGCCGGAAGTAGTGCTGTGGCTCAAGTGGTAGAGCGCTAGTCTTGAGCTGAAGAGCTGAGGGACAGCGCCCAGGCCCAGAGTTCAGGCCCCACGACCGGACCAAAAAAAAAAAAAAAAAAAAGTTCATGCACAATACCCACACCCTGAGTTCAAGCCCCAGGATAGGCACCAAGAAAAAAAAAATTATACCCAAGCCTCAGACTCTGGGAAGCTCTGTTCAGAATACTCTGAAAGTAGCTAGGAGCTTACTCAGGAGGCTGAGCTCTGAGGATCAAAGCCAGCCTAGGCAGGAAAAAAAGTCCATGAGACTCTTATCTCCAATTAACTACCAGAAAACCAGGAGTGGAGCTGTGGCTCAAAATGGTAGAGTGCTAGCCTTGAGTCAAAGAGCTCAGAGACACCCAGGCCCTGTGTTCCAGCCCCATGTCCACCACCACCACCAACAACAAAATACCCTGGAAGGGCTGGGAAGGTGGCTCAGTGGTAGAGTGCTTGCCTTGCATGCATGAGGGCCTGGGTTCGATTCCTCAGCAACACATAAGCAAAAAGAAAAAAGCCGGAAGTGGCGCTGTGGCTCAAGTGGTAGAGTGCTAGCCTTGAGCTGAGGAGCTGAGGGACAGCGCCCAGGCCCAGAGTTCAGGCCCTACAACCGGACCCAAAAAACAAACAAGCAAACAAACTACTCTGGAAGTGAGACACCTCCTAGCTCAAAGCCTAGACTTTTGGCCTTCAACACATTGCATCATGATGGTGATTATAGGCAGGGGCTTTATCTTAAGATCCCAGAGCAGCGACTAATTCCTGCTCAGAGCCCCTAAATAAGTCAGGCCTCGGTAAAATGCACACGAAGAGGCACAGAGGACCGATGCTCACACCTAATGGAGCAAAATCCTCCCAGAGTGCGATGCCCCCTCAGGCTTACCTGATCCTTGAGGCGCTAGGTTTCCTTTGCCATCCAGGTAGGAGACATGAACTAAAACCAGGGTGGACAGATGTCAGCCTGGGTTGATATCACCTCACAGCACCACACACCCCTCCAAATTCTACCCCATGTGCACCTGTCCCCATGCACTCTAACCACCCAGCCCGTCACCACCCCAGGAAGGACCCTAGCAGCCACCTCTGACAGCCGTCTCAGCACAGCCTTTGGGAATGTTGGTGGCCAGTGCCAGCTCCACCAGGTTCACCTCTCGGTCTTCAGGAAAATAGAGCTCACCCTCCCTGGCAGGGCGCATGGGAAGCACCTCCTGGGACCCATATCCACACACAGCCTGGGGAAAGGGAGAATTACAAAGCAGTGTGAAGCCTGGCACCGGCAGCTCACACCTGTAATCCTCGCTACTCAAGAAGCTGAGATCTGAGGGTCATGGTTCAAAGCCAGCCCAGGCAGGGAAGTTTGAGACTCATCTTCAATGAATTTTCCCCTGAGGTTTTAGTTCTCCCCACGCACACTCACCAAACTCTGGAAACTTACCATTCTCTCCTGTTCATAACCTTCCTTCCTCAACTTACTGCTCTGGAACAATTATACTAGGCTATGCTAATACCCATTGATTTAACTCAGGCTCCTCCTTTTACCCAGCATACCCTCTTGTCCTCCTGGATTACTTTAAGGACAAGCTCAAATACTTCAGTACTCTTTAGGAACCTGTTTATAGTCTACCTCTAAGCCCCCTGAACCTCAGGAGTTCCACGAGCCTCCACTCTGGGAACTCATGTTCCCGTAGCCTGGGCCCAACCCAACCCCTTGCCTGCCATTGCTGGATGTTTGCTCTTCACCACAATGCCAGCCCCAAGCTGACCACTCACCTCCACACTGCTCCACCTGAGGGCCCTGTTGAAGTCCTCTACTGTCAGCTTGCGCCGTTTGGTGTGCTTCATGAACTGAGAGCTATTCTGAGAGGACAGAAGCCACAGTCAGGGGTCAAGGAACAGCAGGTGTGGTGACCCCCAAAATAAAGTGGGTCCGACAGAGAATCAGAAAGCTTGGATTCCCACTCACTTCTTTTTTTCCTTTTTTTTTGGGGGGGGGGGTCCGGTCATGGGGCCTGAACTCTGGGCCTGGGCGCTGTCCCTCAGCTCTTCAGCTCAAGGCTAGCGCTCTACCACTTGAGCCACAGCGCCATTTCCAGCTTTTTTTTTTTCTGCTATGTGATGCTGAGGAATGGAACCCAGGGCTTCATGCATGCAAGGCAAGCGCTCTACCACTGAGCCACCTTCCCAGCCCTCCCACTCATTTCTTAACACAACCTCTCCTGGGTCATGTCCCCACTGTGCCTCAGTTTCCTAAGTGGAGCATGTGACTATCCCACCCACCTGGCCAGGGAAGCCAGCACTATTGAGAAGAGCATGTGAGAAAGTGCCTGGCAAGACCTGGACTTACGGCAAGCCTGGCAGGTTTGAAGGGATCTTGGAAAAGGGCATGGACTACTTCCATACCCTTGAAGCACAGGCAGGGACCAACATAGACTTACCAAGGAAATGTGGAAGGAAGTGAGTAAAGGGGGTGGGGGGGTGGGAAGGGGAGATGTGTGGAGTGCCGGTGGCTCATGCCTGTAATCCTAACTACTCAGGAGGCAGAGAGCTGAGGATCACAGTTCAAAGTCAGTCCAGGCAGAAAAAGTCCATGAGACTCTTATCTCCAATAAACCACCAGAAAAGTAGAAGTGGCGCTGTGGCTCAAGTGGTAGAGCGCTGGCCTTGAGCTAAAGAGCGCAGGGACAGCGCCTAGGCCCAGAGTTCAAGCCTCACAACTGACAAAAAAAAAAAAAAGAGGGGGGCTCACCTGGGTAGCCTCTCGGAGACGGTAGCACACATCCTCCGCAAGCAAAGCTGCCACTTCATCGCTCAGCTCCAGGCCTGTGCTCTCGGCCATGAGCCGCACCGACTCCCGTGGGATCTCCACAAACCGCCGCTCTTCTCGCTCCGCCATGGCCCCAGTGGAGCTAGGGGTAGAGAGCGCAGCGCAGATGAAGATCCTCTCAACTAGACTTGCTGCTCTCACTCCACTATCATCAAATAGGGTGCTCAGAGGACCCAGACAAGGAAACTGGGGCTCAGAGAAGAAAAGCAAACTAACCAATGGGAAGAGAGTAGAAAAGCTTGGGGCTCACACGACTTGTGGCTAGCTATGCCCCCTCACTGCGTGTGAACTTGACCAGGCTCAACCTGAAACCTGGTGCTCCAAAAGGCAAAATGGGGACAATGATTTACCCTACTCTACCTTCCAGGGTGGCTATAAGGATAACACAACAGGACATCAGAGACTGGAACGCTATTCCAGCACTGCTGGCACAGGCCAGCAGGGGAGTATTTGCCTAGCATGCATTAGGCCACCCATCCTCAGTTCATGAAGAAAAAGTCCAGGAATTCATTAATGATTATCTTTTTTTTTTTTTTTTTTTGTCGGTCATGGGGCTTGAACTCTGGGCCTGGGCGCTGTCCCTCAGCTCTTCAGCTCAAGGCGAGCACTCTACCACTTGAGCCACAGCGCCACTTCCAGTTTTCTAGTGGTTTATTGGAGAAAAGAGTCTCAGGGACTTTCTTGCCCAGGCTGGCTTTGAACCGCAATCCTCAGATCTCAGCCTCCTAATAGCTAGGCTTACAGGCACAAGCCACCTCGCCCCGCTGATTACCAATCTTAAATGGCAAATAAATTCATGTCCTCTTCCTAGTCTTACTACACCCACCACAAACTGATTTTTGTTTTTTGTTTTTTTTGGGGGGGAGGGGTTGTTTTTGCTGGTCCAAGGGCTTGAACTCAGGGCCTGGATTCTTTCCCTGAGTTTCATTTGCTCAAGGCTAGTGCTCTATCATTTGAGCCACAGCACCACTTCTGGCTTTTTCTTTGGGGAGGGAGGGCTAATTTATTGGATATGAGTCTCACAGACTTTCCTACCCAGCTTGGCTTTGAACCATGATCCTCAGACCTCAGCCTCTTGAGTAACTACAATTACAGGCTTCAGCCAACAATGCTAAGCCATCAACTAAATTCTAACAAAAGACTACTTTTATCCAGATACTGCTTTGTTCAAAAATCAGCATTGAGCTGGGCGCGCCTGTGGCTCACGCCTATAATCCTAGCTACTGAAGATCACATTTCAAAGCCAGCCGGGGAAGGAAAGACTCTTAACTCCAATTACCCACCAAAAAAAGCAAGAAATGGAGCTATGACAGAAGTGTAAAGCAGCAACCTGGAACAAAAAAAAAACTAAGGGACAGCAGTTAGGCCCTGAGTTCAAGCCCCAATGCCAGCATCACCAAAAAAAAAAAAAAATCAATACCGATCCACACCTTGTAAAATCGATATTCAAACTCCTCAGTTTATCAAATTGTCATAGCTGTTCAACATGACCCTCTTCCCAGGAAGACCTTCCTACCTACCTGTCTCATCATCTTAATGTCCATCAAGTCTTTGTTCAGCCTGGTTTCCTGTCCTATTCTACATTCCTTCCCCTTCTAAATCCAGTCTCTAAGATCTTCTGGCCCCTATGCCATCTAGACCTGTCAGGCTTTTAGAGATTGGGCTTTTTGCCCACATGTCCGGTCTTCTCCAATTTGGCTACAAGGCCTACATGCAGGAAGCTATTCTTCTGTTCACAAGATATGATAAAATATGAACCCAACAAAAACAGCAGCTAATATCTGACTCCAGCAATGCACACAGCACCTAAATGGAAGGTAGGTCCACTTAAGCTTGAGGCTACACATTGCAGGCAGTCAGGCCCAGTTCCAAGGTGACCCACCCAGGCTAGCAGAGTTCACTGCTCTTTACCCAATGGACATCCTACCTGATGTCCACAGCATTAGCTCCCTGTTGTCTCTGAAATAAAGAACAAAACTGAATCCCAAAAGCTGTGCAGGTGCCACCTTTGTCTGCAAAACCTGTTAGTGCTTTCTCCCATGTATTCTACATTCATTCTCATCATTATTTCAGGACCTTTGTTGCTTCTTCTGCTTAGAACTTTCCCCTCTCTGTCCTGTATTCTGTTATAAACGTTTGTAATTATACATTTCTGTTAACTCTGTGTGTGTGTGTGTGTGTGTGTGTGTGTGCGTGCGCGTGCGACAGTACTATGACCTGATACCAGGGCCTCACACTTTTGCTTTGGCCTTTCTGCTCAAGGCTGGTGCTCTACCACTTGAATCATAACTCCACTGGCTTTTTGGTAGTTAGTTGAAGATAAAGAGTCTCATAGACTGGGGCTGGGAAGGTGGCTCAGTGGTAGAGCGCTTGCCTTGCATGACTGAGGCCCTGGGTTCGACTCCTCAGCACCACATAAGCAAAAAGAAAAAAAAAGCCGGAAGTGGCGCTGTGGCTCAAGTGGTAGAGTGCTAGCCTTGAGCTGAAGAGCTGAGGGACAGCGCCCAGGCCCAGAGTTCAGGCCCCACGACCGGACCAAAAAAAAAAAAAAAGAGTCTCATAGACTTTTCTGCTCAAGCTGGCTTTGAAATATGATCCTCAGGCTGGGAAGGTGGCTCAGTGGTAGAGTGCTTGTCTCGCATGCATGAGGACCTGGGTTTGATTCCTCAGCACTATATAAACAGAAAAAGCCAGAAGTGGCCCTGAAGAGCTGAGGGACAGAGCCCAGGCCCAGAGTTAGCTACTCAGGAGGCTGAGATCTGAGGATCATGGTTCAAAGCCAGCCCAGGCAGAAAAGTCTGTAAGACTCTTTTTTTTTTTTTTTTTGGGTCCGGTCGTGGGCCTGAACTCTGGGCCTGGGCACTGTCCCTCAGCTCCTCAGCTCAAGGCTAGCACTCTACCATTTGAGCCATAGCACCACTTCCGGCTTTTTTCTTTTTGCTTATGGGGTGCTGAGGAATTGAACCCAGGGCCTCAGGCATGCAAGGCAAGCGCTCTACCACTGAGCCACTTTCCCAGTCCCTGTAAGACTCTTATCTCCAATAAACCACTAGAAAACTGGAAGTGGCGCTGTGGCTCAAGCAATAGAGCGCTCGCCTTGAGCGGAAGAGTGCAAGGACAGCGCCCAAGCCCAGAGTTCAAGCCCCACAACTGACACAAAAAAGCCTGAGGCATTGAACTGCTTTCTATGACCTCACTGCATCCTGATTACCAAGAAGATATTTATTTTTCTCTACTTTATAGCCAAGGATATCAAAGCTCACAGGTGTATACAAATGTGTATCTATATATGTACGTGAATACACACATTTCTCTATATAATATGTACATATACACATATGTATACACACACACACACATATCAGAGGCTGGTGTGCAGAACAAGGCCTGGATTCCCAGCCCAAAGATCGGGAGTTGCAAACTCACCCCCAGGTGACCCTAGGCTCTCTAGTGGCTCATCAGGAAGCTTCAGTTTCCCATCTGTAAAGTGGGAGCACTGAGTCTGGCCGTCGCGCGGGGGCGCGGGGCGGGAGTCCCTGGGATGCGCCCCGCCGAGGACCTCAGAAAGTCTGCGCTGTGTCAGGTCCCGGTTCCTCTGCCTTCTCCCCGAGCACCCTCAGCCTCGAGTCGCTCCGGGAAGGAGGCGTGGGAACCCACCTCCGCGGGCCACGGGGACAGGCACCGCCTCCCTGACCCGGCGTGGCCCATCCCCGATCCTGAGGGCGTGGGGTAGGGTACGAGAGGTCAGGGGTCACAGAACTTGGGTCACGTGGTCGGCGAAGGGGGCGGGCCCCGGCGGAGCAGGCTTCGAGGCCGGTAAGTGAGCAGTCTATTGCGGGACTGGGAGTCCTTGGAGCCGGGTACGGTCTGCTCACCTGAGGGCTCCGGCGCGGCGAGGGAAGCTACTCAGGCGAAGGCGGCGGAGGCGGCGGCGGCGGCGGCGGATTCACTCACCCCGCTCACACTAATTCCCTCTCTCAGGGTCTAGGCCCCGCCCTCCTGGAGCACAGCCAATAGGCGGTCGCCTTACAAACTTCCCGCCCAACAGGAGGCTTCACGCCACGTGATTGGTCGTTGTGAACGTGCTGTGAACGACCCCAGGGCGCAGGTGATCACGTGAGGGGATGATTGGCACTTCTTAAAGCGACAGCTCTTGCTAGTTTTGCGAGCAGGTGTTGCGTGATTTGGCATACATTTAGGAAGCATATTCTTCAGGGAAATTGGCTTCGTTCGTTTGATCTTGCCTGCTCCTCAGTTTCCGAACACTCACATTTCCGCGATTGCAGGAAAGCTCTAAGACTTTGCTCTCTGACTTAACTTCCCTGCTAACCTTTCCATCATCACCTACCACTTCTAGAGAGGACAGGTCCAGTTCCCTAGCTGTTCTGGGCTGAGACAGGAACTTCTGACTGAGCCGATATCTGTCAATAACAACATCTGGCAGACTGAGGGTGTCTCTCGCCTGACGATCGCGGTTCAAAGACTCTTATATGCAATTAATCACCAGAAAACAGGAAGTGGAGTGCAGCTCAAATGGTAGAGCTCCAGCCTTGAAAGAGCTCAGAGTCAGCGCCCAGGCCCTGTGTTCAAGCCCCACGATGTAAGAAGGAAGGAAGGAAGGAAGGAAGGGAAAGAGAGAGAGAGGGAAGCAAGGAAGTGTAATGTACTTGGCAGAATGGGAGATTAAATTTCCACTTTCTTCATATTCACCAAGCATGGGCAGTTTTCTCAGAGCTATGATGATTATTTTTTGTTTTGCTTTGTGCTGGTCTTGAGGCTTGAACTCAGGGCCTGGGGACTATCTATGAGCTTTTTTTCAGTCAAGTTTAGTCTGTGTCACCTGAACCACAGCTCCATTTCTGGCTTTTTTGGGTAATTATTTAGTGATAAGTCTTAGGGCTGGAAAGGTGGTTCAGTGGTAGAGCGCTTGCCTTGCATGCATGTGGCCCTGGGCTCAATTCCTCAGCACCACATAAGCAAAAAGAAAAGTGGTAGAGTGCTAGCCTTGAGCTGAAGAGCTGAGGGACAGCGCCCAGGCCCAGAGTTCAGGCCCCACGACTGGACCCCCCCCCCAAAAAAAAAAAAACAAAAAAAAAACAGTCCTAAAAACTTTCCTAGCTGGGCACTGGTCGCCCATGCCTATAATCCTAGCTCCTCAGGAGTCTGAGATCTGAGGATCGTAGTTCAATGCCAACCTGGGCAAGGAAAGTCCTTGAGATTTTTTTTTTTTTTAGAGCCCAGACACTGTTCCTGAGCTTCTTTTGCTCAGGGTTAGCACTCCACCACTTGAGCCAAAACGACACTTCTAGCCTTTTCTGTTTATGTGGTACTGAAGAATCAAATCAAGGGCTTTATGCATGCCAGACAAGCATTGTACCATTAAGCCACATTCCCTCCCCTGAGACACTTATCTCCAATAAACTACTCAGAAAAAGCTAGAAGTGGCGCTGTGGCTCAAATGGTAGAGCACTAGCATTGAGCAGAAAGGGGCTCAGGGATAGCACCCAGACCCTGAGTTCAGGGCCCAGGATTGGGGGGTTGAGGGCGGGGGACCCTTTCCTATCTAGACTGGTTTCAAACCATGATCCTTAGATCTCAGACTCCTGAGAAAGGACTGCAGGCATGAACCATCAGTGCCTGGCCAGAGCTATTATTTATTATTATTTACTTAATCACAGTGCTGGGGACCAAACAACCCAGGGCCTTGGACATGCCAGGCAAACATTCTACCATGGAGCTACACTCCTCACCCTTTTCAATTCAAGAAGGGAGTTTTCTGTAGGGGAGAATGCCTGTATATATCTTCCCCACTTCCTCTCAGGGCCAGATGCTGCAGCTTGTGTAAAGAGAATCATCTGGGACTGAGCTATGACAGCAGATGGAGGTATCTAGGGTTGCCATGACAACTCACCTGAGGCAAAGACCCTGCTGAGTCTTTTTCCACCATATTGACATTTGAAGTGGTTTGATGCTTTGGGACACTACAGTGTCCATCCACCTGTGCTTGAAAGGAAGGAGAGAGGATGCCCTTCTCTGAGTCTGTTCACAATTCAGCAGTACTTGGGGTGTGGACCAATCACCTTGCTGATGTTTACTGGTTTGGAGAGCCATTTCCAAGCTTTGACGCAGGAGAGGATGAATGAAGACCCAAGGGCCATTGGGATATATGGAAGCTGTATCCAGTCTTTAAATAAGTATGGCACTTATTTACCTACAAATGTTTTTTGGGGGGGCTTGCCCTGGGACTTGAACTCAGGGCCTACTGGGACACTGTCACTGAGCCTCTTTGTGCTCAAGGCTAGTGCTCTACCACTTGAGCCACAGCACTACTTCTGACTTTTTCTGAGTAGTTTATTGGAGTTAACAGTCTCACAGACTTTCCTGCCTGGGCTAGCTTTGAACTATGATACTCAGATCTCAGCTTTCTAAGTAGCTATGATTACAGATGTGAGCCACTGGTGCCCAGCTTTTGCCTACAATTTTTGTAGAGGCAGAAATGAAACTTGGGCTGGGAAGGTGGCTCAGTGGTAGTGCTTGCCTTGCATGCATGAAGCCCTGGGTTCGATTCTTCAGCATCACATAAACAGAAAAGGCTGGAAGTGTCACTGTGGCTCAAGTGATAGAACACTAGCCTTGAGCTGAATTGCTGAGGGACAGTGCCCAGGCCCGGAGTTCAAGCCCCACAGAAAAAAAAAATGAGGGGCTAGGAAGGTGGCTCAGTGGTATAGTGCTTGCCTTGCATGCATGAGGCCCTGGGTTCGATTCCTCAGCAACACATAAGCAAAAAGAAAAAAGCCGGAAGTGGTGCTGTGGCTCAAGTGGTAGAGCGCTAGCCTTGAGCTGAAGAGCTGAGGGACAGCGCCCAGGCCCCATGACCGGACCCAAAAAAAAAAAAAAGAGAGACTCACATGACACAAGATGGCATATCTTTAGAATGACTTTAGAGCCAGATTTTTCTTTTTAGAAGGAAGTGAAGGGAGAGGAAGAGGAGGAGGAAAAAGGGAGAAGTGTGTGTGTGGTGGCTTGTGAGGATGTCAGCCTAAAATTCTGCTACACGGCATGGTGCTAGCCTTAGTGCCACACCCTATATCCCAACATCTGCGTCCTCAACAGCACTCAGATGCTCAGTTCCCTCAACTATCACTCTGCCCAGCCTTCTCTCCAGACTTGGTGTTCCTTCCAGGTGTCCTCCCTCCCACTATAGTTTATATATGAGTAATTGGTTCATTTGGGGAAGAATTTTACTCCCAATGAGACATGGTATTTAGGGAGCCTAGGAGAACCCTACAGCCTGTGTAAACAACTCATTCTACAATGAGATAGTACCTACAACCTAAACATTTCCAGTAAAATTCCATTGCAGTAGTGGAAGTACTGGTAGCTCACACTACAATCCTAGCTACTCAGGAGGCTGAGATCTGAGGATCCAAGTTCAAAGACAGCCCCGGCAGAAAAGTCCTCAAGAGACTTTTTTTTTTTGGGGGGGGGGGGGGGTCTGGTCGTGGGCCTGAACTCTGGGCCTGGGCACTGTCCCTCAGCTCTTCAGCTCAAGGCTAGCACTCTACCACTTGAGCCACAGCACCACTTCCAGCTTTTTTCCTTTTTGCTTATGTGGTGCTGGGGAATCGAACCCAGGGCCTCATGCATGCAAGGCAAGCGCTCTACCACTAAGCCATCTTCCCAGCCCTCAAGAGACTCTTATCTCTGATTAATCACCAGAAAACTGGAAGTGGTGTTGTGGCTCCAAGTGGTAGAGCACTAACCAGCCTTGAGCAAAAGAGCTCAAAGACAACACCCAGGCCCTGAGTTTAAGCCCCAGGACCAGCATAAAAGACATATATGTAAGCCAGCGTAAATACATTACGCTGGTCCTGGGGCCTGAACTCAGGCCCTCATGCTCTTGCTTTTTTTTTTTTTACATTCATGGTTGGTACTCCACTAACTCAGCTATTCCTCCACTTCTGGCTTTTTTTGTGGGGGGGGAGAGGGGGGAGTAGGGGGGAAGGTAATCCTGGTCTTGGTGCTTGAACTCAGGGCCTAGGTCCTGTCCCTGAAGAGTTTGTTTGTTTTTGGGGGGAGGCTGTTCAAGGCTAGTGCTCCAACACAAGAGCCACAGCTCCACATCTGACTTTTTGGTAGTTAACTAGAAATAAGGGTCTTACAGGATTTCCTACCCTAGCTGGCTTTGAATCTTGATCCTCAATCTCTACCTCCTGTGTAGCTAGATTACAGGTATAAGCCACTGTGCTGATGTTCATTCTTCATTCTAAAGCAAGAATCTCACTGATTTAAAAACTATGATCCTCTGGATCTTAGCCTGAGTAGCTACAGGCTTGTACCAGCTCCTATGGGCATTTTTTAGAGTTGTTATTTCTAGATGCCCCCCAAAAAGAGAGAGAAAATATAATATTTCCTTCAGAAACAAGGACCTTTAATAAGTAGAACACATAGTGAGTGGCAAGTGCCAGGTGTCTCCTGGAGCCAAGGAACTTTCTTTGTTTTCCTGCAAACAGACAGAATCAGCCTCTGGACCAAGGAGCAAGTATGAAGGTCACACTTCCCCAGTCAGGACCAAAAAAGTCATAGCAGTCCATGCTCAGCTCACAAGCCCTGGAAAAACAGGGAAAGCATGTCAGCTAAACTCAGCGCTCAGGTGGCCCATGGATACTTTCCTCCT